TGGAAATGAACTAGAAGGCAGAGGAACATATTTATCCTGCCACTTCTGATGGCAAAGAGACAAATGCCCTGGGAAACAAGTGAAAGGATAATGGGGAAGGATGACACAGAGAGGAAGAAACATACCTTTTCACAACAAGTACTATAATCTGTGATCTCATCAATTTGGAATTTTCTCCAATAACACAGAAAGTAACTCATCTAAGTCTGCCCTCCCTATTTTTCTATGCCAGACCACTCTGTGGCCCCCCCACTACAGATCTAAAATGTAGCCCATAGATTCAGATTGTAGTCCTGGTTACTCAGTAACTGTTATGTCACAGTTTCTAACCTGCCACAAGTTAGGAGAGTAAAAAAATGTACTTATCTCATCTTTGTCACCACATATAATACATTTAAACAGATCTTTCATCTCCTCAAAGTTTAACCCAGGGGATCCATCTAACTTGCTTGAGCCCTCTCCACTTTTTCCTGACATTTCCAGGGTGTACAAATGGAACACTGACTTGCCACCTTTCATCCCTTGCTCTTGCCCTGTGACCATCCCATGTTCTCTTCTTGCCATACAATTTCTTGATAACATCCTTTATAACTGTTCTTCCAAGCTCTTTATTGGTTATATGTTGCAGACTGCTCTGATCCACTGTGAACCTTTCCATTTCCCTCTATAGTTTTATGCACATAGTCTTCCTCTGAATTTTAATTCTTTTTCTCCTTCTGTGAAGGGCTTCTTATTTCCTGCTCTCCTTCCTTCCCCTCTATCCCTTATTAAACATATCATTTCATAGGTATTGGGATTATATGTGATCACTTATTCAAGTTATATAATTGTTTTAAGCATTGAATAGATTACAGTATTGCCTTATTAATCTACTTGAAGGAATTTTTTTAAAAAAAGGTTTTCCTCATAGGCCCAGAAAGGACAGGTGAATTATTCATGGTCTCACAGGTACTCCTTGGCATGCAGCTATCTTTCTTTTCTACAAAATGACTCCAGAAGTCCCATAACACAATCAAGTGCCCAAAGTTTCCATAGAGTGAGATTTCACAGTAACACTCTCCAAACTCCAGAACTCCAAATTCTATCTCGGACAAACTTGGGGGGGGGCAGATAAAGTCGACACATCCTCTCTTCATTAAATTTTGCTGAAAGAACCTGCCACACTAATCTGCTTCCTGTTGTACTCTTACTCAAATGTTCATTTTTGATATGTAGAGTTAGAGGCATTTAAGTACAGCGGACAGAGTGCCAGGCCTGAAGTCAGGATGACTCATCTTCTTGAGTTCAAATCTAGCCTCAGACACTTATTAGCTGGGTGACCCTGGGCAAGTCACTTAACCCTGTTTGCCTCAGTTTCCTCATTTTTAAAATGAGCTAGAGAAGGAAATGCCAAACCACTCTAGTACCTTTGTCAAGAAACCCCTAAATGGGGTCAAGAAAAGATGATCACAACTGGAATGACTAAATAGCAGAAGAGTTAGGTTGATGTTAGAACTGTCAGGAAAACAATGGAAATAGAAATGGCAAGTAAGCTGGAGAAAAAGGTCTAAGGAATTCTATGACCAAGAAGGGAGAACCAGGGCTCTGGGAAATTCTCTCCATATCCAAATGTATTTCAATACTTAAAGGCCTCATACCACCAAGAAAAATGCAAGTCAAAAGCATGCCCTTTGTGGCAGATTTTAGACAGGGCACTAAAGTATGCTCACAACTTGTAAAACAAGTACATACAGAACCAGTTCTGTTTTCCATCTTACCATGTATGATATGACCAGTGTTTTTCCTTGATTGAATTTCTTCCCTCCAACCTATGACATGGGGAGGCTTGAATAGCCACAGCTTCCCTGAAGCAGCTTCCTTTTCTGTCTCTCCCACCCCAGCCAGTATGGGGAAGGCTCATGATAAAGCTGTCCCTGAGATCTGATTAGCCCTGGCTTCCCTGATAGAGTTTCCTGGTCACCTTTGTGCGTTAAAAAGTCCCAGCCACATAGAACCTGGGCCTCTCAGACTTGGTAGGTGCACAAGTCAATGAGCATCGCCATTCCCTGATGACCTACCAATCGCACACATTTCTAGATGGAGATGAGGGGACTGTGTCCAGAGAACCTTTGTGCTCCTATCCTTGAAGTAGCATATCCTTGTTATGTAAAGGGTGACATTCACCTCCTTTAGTGTGATCCTTCGTAAATGCCTAATTTCATCCCAATGTTGAACCTGAATCAAGAAAAGTGCTGGCCATCAGAGTCATCCCTCAACACTATGGCACCTTGTTCTTGAAGGAGACTGCCCTAAGAGGTTGGATCCTTCCTTGGGTCTTAACAGATAACCCTCTGTTGTTTGTCCTGATGTCAACCAAAGCATAGTTTGGAGTGAGTTCTTATGGTCATCTAAAACAATAAAGCATTACAGGGTGAATGCTAAGATTCTGGTAGATGTAAACTGCTTTGGTTTTTTTTTTTAATAAGACGTCACAGAATTCAAAGCTACATCACCTCTGCTGGGCATTCTCACTGCCCTTGCTGAAATATTTGGAATTTTGTTGAAAGTGTCCACATTTAGAAACAGAAACAGCATATCAAATGTTAACATTTCTGCTGAATGGAAAGTAGATTGTAACATTATAGATTTAGAGATGGAAGGGACCTTAAAGGTTATCTAGTAGTGTCTCCTCATTTTGCAGGTGAGGAAACTGAAGGAAAAGAGGTAAAGGGAGCTACTTGCGGTCACCCAGGTAGTAAATGACAGAGCCAGCATTTGAAAGCTAGTCAGCTGACTACTAATCCATCACCTGTTGTTCTGACTCAGCAGCCAATCAGAGGACTTGAGCAGTGAGCCACATGAGGCTAGAAATCTACCCCTCTCCCCCACCTGCTTCCACGGGGATGCTGGCAATGGTGACTGAGCATGCTCTGTGGGGCAATGCTAGCCTGTTAGAGTATAAAATGCAAAAAGCATTAGAACTGTAATAAAAAGGCATATACAGACTCAAATCCCAGATCTTCTATTTGTTACATGTATGACTTTGGAAATTTACTTCTTTGTAAGCCTCAGATTCCTCTTCTGTGAAATTCTGGGATTAGACAAGATGAGCTCTGAGGTTTCTTTCTGTAAGTATCTGCTGATGGGGAGTGAGGAAGGAAGTGGACTGGGCTGTTCTTAGAATCCAAGAATTAAGTACCATAACCTAGATTGCAGAAATGAACCAGTGTCTTCCCTATTAGATTGTAAACTCTACCAGACAGGACAGGAACGGGCTTAAAAATTTTTTTAAATGTGTGTGTGTGTGTGTGTGTGTGTGTGTGTGTGTGTGTGTGTGTATCTCTGGCGATTAGCACAGTGTCTGGCACATAGTAGATGCTTAACAAATGTTTATTTGCTGACTGACTGCAAAAGCAATCTGAATCTGACTAACTTTCTAAGCGTGGAGTTTTCAAAAAATGCTTGAGTCTCTTATAAATCAGCAGCAGCGTTTAGAATTGTGTTTGGGCAGGAGCTGGAATCCCTTTTTTTCCTTCAAGGATGTCTAAAAATTGCTTACTCTTCCCCCTGTCCCCTTCTCATTCTGTCTTTAGCTAATCTTTTTTTTTTAGATAGATTTTTATAATATCTTTTATTTTTACATTGCCTAGATTTCTACCTATACTCCTCTCCTTATATTCTTCCAGAAACATCTGTTATTACAAAAACATTTTTTAAAAAGGGAGAATTTCTAGAAATCAGCAAAATTGATCAATATAGGATGTCTCTAAAGTCTTAGTACAGTTTTAAGCTCTTAACTATACTAAAACTTTGGAGTCACCCTATATAGTAAAAAAACAAAAAACAAAAAAAAAACAAACCCAAAACTAATATTATATTTGATGCTCTACCCATGGATTTCCCCCTTCCTCCAACGCTGCAAAGGAGTTGGAGGACATTTCTTCCGATCTCTTTTCTTTGGGACCATACTTGTTTTGCTTTGTTTTATAATTTTGCAGCCTTCATTTTCCATTGTTTTGTGATGGTGGTTCTTTCCATTTACGTTGTTCTAGTCCCTGTTGATACTGTTTTCTTGGCTATACTTACTTTATTTTGTACCAGTTCATGTAGATCTTTCCACGTTACTCTGTATTTATTATCTTCATTATTCCTTTGTACATACCCACAGTAACACAATTTGTTGAGCCTTTCTCCAGTCAATAAGCAGCTACTTTGTGTCCAATTCTTTGCTTTAAGTGACTAACTTAAAGTGAAAATATTAAAGCTGAGGATGACCTGCACCAAAATTACTGGGATAAGGGGAAAGTTTTTGTATATATATATATATATATATATACACACACATATATATGTATATACATATGTGACAATAATATAAAAACAATATGCAATATTATATTATATTAGAATATATAATTAGATTACATCACAATATAATATTAATAACAATGACAGTAAATAACTTTTACATAGTACTTAATGTATGAGGCACAGGTGTTCAACTTTTTTTTTTGAGGCAATTAGAGTTAAGTGACTTGCCCAGAGTCACACAGCTAGTGAGTATTATGTGTCTGAGGCCAAATTTGAACTCAGGTCCTCCTGACTCCAGGACCAGTGCTGTATCCATTCTGTCTCCTAGCTACCCCTGTTGTTCAACTTTTTGTGACCCCTTGGGCCAACTGTCCATGCAGGTTTCTTGGCAAAGATACTAGAGCGATTTGCTGTTCCTTCTCCCAGTTTTATGCAGGCAGGGATTAAATAACTTGCTCAGGGTCCCACAGCTATTAAGCGTATGACTTTAGATTTGAACTCGGGTCTTTCAGACTCTGGACTCAGTGCTCTATCCACTGCCCCCCCCCCAGGCACAAGGCTAAGTACTAAGAAGCAAATGGGGCTCATCATGTTCATGGTTGCTTTTTGTTACTCTCTCCAGGGGTTTTATAAATATCTATTAGCTTTATTCATTTATCATCAACTGGGCTTTTGTCATGAGAAGTAACAGACTGTTTGCTGTTTCTTAGATTCCACCACCCTGTGGGTCTTCTTCCAATGTGAACGGTGGACCTGAACTGTACCGATGCCTGAGCCCTGAAGGTAGGTTGCCATTCTGTAAAAGCTTTTTAAACAGGACACTACCAACAATTAAAGGAAGTACTTTTGGAGATGGTGAAAACTTGTGCTAAATTAGGATCTACTTATGTCCTGATAATGCTTAGTCAAGTGTGGACTAGTGCCTTGTCTATTTCAATTCATTAAATATTTGTGTGTGGGGGGTGTGTGTGTGTGTGTGTGTGTCTGCTGTGTACAAAGGCACCAGACAAATAAAAAGATAGCTACACAGATTTCCTAAAGATAGCAATATCATCTATTGTGTGTGGATATCAGCCTGCTTTAGAAACTCTTTTTTCAAGGGCCTTCAAAGATGTTAGTCTTTAACAGGAATTCTTTATCTGGGATCCTTAAATATTTTTTAAAAAAAATTTGATAATTATTTCGATATAATTAGTTTTCTTTGTAATTCTATTTTATTTTATACATCCAAAAACACTCATCTGAGCAGGGCTCAATTAATAGTCTTCACTAGACTGCCCAAAGGGTCCATGACACAAAAAAATGGTTGAGATCCCCTGGCCTATAACCAGGCTCCAGGCTCTCTGCTTGTCTACAGCAGCTTAGATTTTAAGGATTGGGTTTGCTTTTTTCTATCTTTTTCTTGTGCCATCATCCATCCTTGTATCACAAAAGGTTCTAGCTTTGGGAAAGTAGAGATAGTGGCTGGGCCTGTGATTTCACTAGGATGGGAAATTTATTCTTGTACCAGTTGGTGCCTTCTCTTCAACTTAGGGTCTCAGAGAATTGTCTGGGACTCAGAGAGGTTGAGTCTTTGGCAGGGTTAGGCTGCATGTATGTGTCAGAGGTACCTTGTCCTAGTTCTTAAGCCAGCTGTCTGCCACAATGCCTAGAACTTTGGACCTTTAAACAAAGAGGCTGCTCCTCAGTTACTGTCAGTGAGGCACTTCTGAGCAACACATCTTACTCCTCCACCAGAATCATCTCTACCCAACAACTCTGGGAGCAAATTCATAGATGGACTGCTCCTTCATCTTCAGTTCTGTGCTTTCCTTTCTCTGAGTGCTGAAATCACTGACATTTTTTAGCACAATGTGGAGGAGGAAAGAGTTGTGATTTGTTATTTTAAAAAGGACCCTGTCACTGATAACTAGCCATTTTGTCAAAGCCCTGGTCAAAGGAGATCATTGATCTTCTCCCTTTTTTTTTTTTTAACCCGTGTAAATTTTAAACTGTAATGGAAAGTTAGTAGATGCATACTTTGATGCATCTGTCCTTACTCTACAGCAGTGATTCTTAAGCTTTTTTGTCTTATGGGCCCCTCTGGCAGTATTGTGAAAGCTGTTGATGTCAGATTAATGTTTTTAAATGCAGAAAATAAAATGCACAAAGTTACCAAAAATCCCACAATGAAATACACTCATGAAAATATTAAAAAAACCCAAAATATCAGGTTCATGAAAATTCTGCTCTGTACTTTATTTGTTCTTTGAAAGCCTACAGGGAAAGTAACCTGTTTTCCAATATTCAAACAGCTTTTTCAGGGTTGAATAAGCCTGAATAAAAACCAGTTAGGGTAAGTTTAATTAGAATTCCTTTTGATGCCAGGCTAATGGCTTAGTTCATTGGGGGTTTGAGAGATTAAGCAGAAATTTGTTAAATTTTCCATTATACTAGTGGAGCACCAACAGTAAATACTCCATGTGCTAATGAGGTCAAGTTGAGCCAGAGATCTAACAGATTATCAGGCCTGCAGCACTTTTTTGTTTCTTTCTTTGGGTCTAGAAAATCTTTACATTGCAGTTTCAATGTGGAGAGCAAGGTGAGCTGCTGACACTTACCTTTGACATTTATGCTGTCCTTTCTGCAGGTGTGAATGGAAACAGGTGCTTTGAGTCATCAACTCTTCTTGACAAATACAGAATTGGGAAGGTCATTGGTGATGGCAATTTTGCTGTGGTGAAGGAATGCACAGAGAGGTGAGTCTCTAAATAAGCTTCCTTGTGATCATTGCAAGTTGAGGGATTTGTCAACTCAACCCTTCCAATGTTTGTTCCTTTGTTTTGTTTCTTTACTTTTAGTTTTCTTACTTTTCAATTTCTGTAAGCTAAATGTGCCCATTGTGACCAAGGCCAAAGGTCACGTCAGTTTTTCAAAAACATTGGAACTTAGTTGGGTCCTGGAATGAGAGTTGTAAAGCAGATGGACTAGTGACTCTGTCTCAAGTGAGGGAATTAGAACAGCAAGTGGTTAATTGTGGGAATTGAGTGAACCCCACTTTCTCCATCTTGTGACTCAATTCTGGAACTAGCTCAGTTCAATTTTGGGTCTTGTCCAATTTCTGTCTTGTGAGAAAACTATTCAGTTGTGGGAGTTGTGAGAAAACTATTTCATTGTTTGAACCCAGCCCTGTGTGGTTGGGAAGCTGGACCACTTCTACCTACTGCTTAGAGACCCTTAATTAAGCACGTAGGTTATGCTGACTAGAAACCCAGTCAAATCCCAAGATTGATGCAAGGAGTTTTCTCACAATTATACATCTGAAACAACCCATATGTCTTATTTGAAAACTGTCCCATACTAGTCAGTCAGTTATTGTTCCTTCAATTGAAACAGACACCTGGGGGTAGTAGGACACTTCTTTTTTTTCTGATTTTAGGGAATTATACCTCTTTGCTCTTCCCCTCCCAACTTGGAAAGTCCCTAATCTTTCCTCCAATTAGAAGTCAGATTATCTAATTTTGTATCGTGGTTAATTGTTTTCTTTTAATTAGTTGGTCTTATTTGATTCATTGTTTTTAATACATAAAAATCTGTCTCCTCCTGTATTTGGGGTCCAGTGCCAAGCTGAGGATGTCTAGTCCTGATTTATTATGCAGTTGGCATGCATTGATAATAAATCAAAAGCACGAACCTTTGTTTCCTCATTTATTTCATCTTTTACCTATCATACATGGCCTTGTATTAGGGTCTCAGAGATCAGGAGTCATAGTTTTAAATGGTGATATGACTAGCATTTTTGTGGACTCTAGGACCCCTGGGCCTACAAAAAATGTGTTTAGCTGGCCATAGAACTGCACCATACCCAACATGATGACTGTAGACAGGCACAGTAATTACAGGAATTTTCATTTCCTGTTGGGGCTTTGGGAGGAGTCTGAACCAATACCAGTGGTGGATTTTATTGTAGTAAATTAAAACCAACTGGTGGGTTGTTGGGGGGAGGGGGGCATTGCTGAAATAGATTCAGTGGATTGATGGTGATTTTCCCAAACCAGTCTTAATCCTAGGTAACCCAGAAATTTAGCAGCAATGAAACCCAAGTAGGGACAGGTCACTTAAAAACTTGACAAGATTGCAAAAAGTGCCTGGAGTCAGATGCTTCCTGGGAGCCCATTTTTCTCCCACCCAGATGCTTTTTGAGAAATGACAAAGTAACTGCAGGTTTCCAAGCCCTGCTAGAATCTCTCAGCTCTTGAGTTCAAGAGGGATCAAGGCATCATAGACGTAGAACTGGAAGGGCCGTTGGAGATCACCTTGACAGCCTCTCCAGGGTTGGGGAACCTGCAGCCTCAGGGCCACATGTGGACCTCTAGGTCCTCAAGTGGTGCCCTTTGATTGAATCCAAACTTCACAGAACAAATCCCCTTCATAAAAGGATTTATTCTGTAAAACTTGGACTCAGGGGACAACTAGTTGGTGAAGTAGATAGAGTACTGGCCATGGAGTCAGGAAGACCCGAGTTCAAATCCAGCCTCGGACGCTTGACACTAGCTGTGTGAGCTTAGGCAAGTCACTTAACCTCAGTTGCCTCAAAACAAAAACGAAAACAAAAACCTTGGGCTCAGTCAAAAGGCCATATCCAAGGACCTAGAAGGTCACAGGTTTCCCACCCCTGCCTCTGTCCTTTTACAGATAAGAAAATCAAGGCCCGGAGAAGGTATTACTTGCCTGAAGTCAGCTATCTAGTAAGGGGAAGAAGTAGGATTGGAGCTCAAGATCTCCATATACAAATCCAGGGCTCTTTTCACTGTGTTACTTTGTCTTCTTTTGAAAGGATCTTGTCATTTCTTTAAGCTGACTGAAGAGAGAGGGGGAAAAAAATCCCAAACATTAAAGTTTGAAAATAAGTCCTCATCAAGCACCCTCCTCTCACTTGTTTTCCCCATAATCTCCGTGTGGTGGAGTCTGTTGACTTTAGAGAGGATCTTAGAGGTCTTGTGAGGAAACCCACTTCAATAGGCCATGTTTAACTCTTAGTTTTTGTTACTATGTTGTATAAAAACACACTGTTGAAATGTACAGAGAGAAAGGAAAACATATCCTTTTAAAATGAAGACTAAAGATCTTTTAAATTTGATTTGGGGTTAGTCTGTAGCTATCTGTATACACAGCCTGACAGCTGCTAACCGCATTTGTTTTAGACTTCCTTTAATTCTTGTACACGATTCAACAAACATTGGAGATCGCTGCTGCCTAAGGGCATCTTCTTACTCAGCTGCAGGGGTCATATTTCACTGTTCAGCACCTAAAAATCGTTTTGTTTTGTTTTGGTTTTTTTGCAAAGGGCACAGTAGGGGCAGATGCCAGCAGTTTGTGTGGAAGTGTTTTCATATGTTTTAGTTAAGTTGTTCCAGGCTTAATTAGCCAGATTCTTCTATTAATTTTTAAAGGGCCACATTGTGGCAGTAGCCTCTCTATTGCCAGTCCCTGGTTCAGGCAGCTCAGTGTGACTGACAGTGACTGTACTTGGCTGATGTCTTATGTGGGAGGGTTGTGCCCTGTGCCAGCTGTAACAGATCACACACATCTCAATGAATTTCATAAAAAACCTTGACGCTTTGTGGCCACTTTTATCCCTTGCACACCAAATGCAATTATCAGTGACAAATTAAGCACCTAGGATATAATTTCTATGTATTCATCAACAGTCAGAGGCAGTGTTTGGTTTACGTTTCTCATGAGATGTTTTAAATAAGAGTTCTCCCTCTGAGTTAGACCATGTCGATTTGTGACTATGACAACCTGGCAATAGCAGCTACAGTTTTAGAGCTAATGAATTCAAAGTACGCTGCAGTGCTCTTTAATGAATGGTTCTCCTGCAGTTAGACATTCTTTGTGTGTTGCAAATTCAGTACGTCAGTAGCTCTGTGTTCCTCCGTCTACGTGGGTGCTCTTTTCGCTGGTACAGGTTAGTCAGTCAATAAACATTTATTAAGCTCTTACTATGTGCCAGGTACATATAAGTGCTGGAGATATGAAGAGAAGCAAGACATTTCCTAATCTCAAGGAACTTGAGTTCCTTCTCACCTTAATCAGACGACTTTCATGAACCCTGTGACCTCCCTCAACCATCATCAATTGTCCAGCCTTCTGGTGATGAGTCTCTATGCACTTATTAGAAAGACCCTTAGCTCCTCCACCCCCATACACCCACGATCTAAACTTTTAGCTTGGCTAAGACCTGCAAGAACTTACACTATACTCACACAACTTTCAAGAACCCACTGTATTACCTTCATGCCAAAATGAGATAGGAATTCCTGCAGAGATTGTTGTAACTAATTTTTTAAAATAAATTTTCATTGAGATCTTTTCTTTTTGTACTACCTAAATTTCTCCCAATATTCATCCCTCCTTCTGTAGTACCTTCCCATAAACCAAAGAATATTTTTTTAAAAGACAGAAGTAGAGAGGGATCAGCAAAACTCTTTAATACATTGAAAATCTAAAAATATATGCAGTGTTCCACCCCAGTGAACCTTCCACCTCTGTAAAGGAATGAGGGGAGAGATGTCTTCTATAATTATTTTTAAATTTTTTTTTGTTACATTTGAGTTCCAAGCTGTTTCCCTGCCTCCCTCCCAACCTTGCACTGGAAAAGGTCAACATTTGACACAGATATATATGTGAAACCATACAGTACATGGTTCCATACACTTTCTGGAGGTGGATAGCATCTTCCTTCATAGGTCCTTTGTAGTTATTTTGAATATTCATACAATTCAGAATAGTTTAGTCATTCAAATTTACTCTTTGAACATTATTGCTGTTACTGTATGTAATGTTCTCTTGCTTTTGCTCATTTCAGACTTCTTTATTTCATGCAAGTGTTTCCATGTTTTACTAAAATCAACCTGCTTATCATTTTTTACAGCATAGTAGCATTCCATCACAATCATATAGTACAACTTATTCAGCCATTCCCCAGTTGATGGGCATCCTCTCAATTTCCAGTTCTTTGACACCACAAAGAGAGCTACTGTAAATATCTTAGAACATATAGGTTTTTTTTCCCCCCTGATCATCTTGGGAAACAGACCTCATAGTAGTATTGCTGGGTCAAAGGGTATACATAGTTTTATAATTCTTTGGGAATGATTCCAGATTGCTCTCCAAAATGCTTGGATCAGTTTACAACTCCACCAACAGTGTATTAGTGGCCCAATGTTTTCACATCCCCTCCAACATTTGTCATTTTCCCCTTCTATCATTTTAGTCAGTCTGATAGGTGTAAGATAATATCTCAAAGTTGTTTTAATTTGCATTTCTCTCATCAATAATTGTTTGGAGCATTTTTCATGTCACTATAGCTTTGATTTCTTCTTCTGAAAACTGCCTGTTCATATCCTTTGACCATTTATTAATTGTGGAAGACTTATATTCTTATAAATTTGATAATATTCTCTATATATTTGAGATTTAAGGCCTTTATCTGAGAAACTGTCTTTAAAATTTCTCCTCTAATTTTCTGCTTTCCTCTTAATCTTGGATACATCAGTTTTATTTGTACAAAAACCTTTTAATTTAATGTAAACACAATAATCCATTTTACATATCACAATGCTCTCTATCTCTTGTTTATTAATAAATTCTTTTCATATCCATAAATCTGATAGGTTAATATGTTCCATGTTCTAATATACTTATGATATTTCCCGTTATGTCTAGGTCATATTTTCATTTTGACTTTATCTTGATAAATAGTATAAGATATTGGTCTATACCTAGTTTCTGCCAGATTGCTTTCTAGTTTTCCCAACAATTTTTACCAGTGAATTCTTATCCCGAAAGCTTAAATCTTTACATTTATCAAACACAAGGTTACCATAATAATTTACCACAGTGTTTTGTGTATCTACTCTATTCTACTATAACTACTTTCTAAACAACTTTAATGACTCCTTATTAATTGAATCACTATTCCACTCATTATAGTGGCTTATCCAAACTTTTTCATTTGTCCTTGAACCTCCCATGACTCTTCTTTCCCTCACCCTTTCAGCAGAGAACCTTGTCTCATATTTCACTGAAAAAAATCAAGGCTATTTGCTGAGAGTTCCCCCTTATCCTCTCCTCCTCATCTCATAATATTCAGATGCCTTCTGCCTCTATCTTCTCCTTTACCAGTCTCACATGAACAGTTGGCCTTTCTCTTTGACAAGGCTAATCCTTCTACATACATAAGTGATCCCATTCCATCCATTCCATCCCATCTTGTCCAGCAGATTGAACACTCTACAATCCCTCCTTTTTCACAAATCTTCAATCTTTCTCTATTTTTCAAGAACCTTCTTTTCCTTGATACTTTTTTCTTTATAGGTCCTCAGGGTCCTACATGCTCTTGGTTTTCCTCCTACCTGTCTGAATCCTCCTCAGCTTGCTTTGCTGGATCTTCATCCAGGTCATGCCAACTAACCATAGGTGTTCCTAAGGCTCTGTCCTGGACCCTTATATCATTTGCCATAGATTCAATTAACATCTTCAAGTTAATGATTCCCAGATCTACTTATCTAGCGCTTAAACTGAGACTCAAATTTCCAACTCAGACTCGATGTCCCAGAGGAGTCTGGAACTCAGCATGTCCAAAACTGAACTTATTATGCCTTTTTATGCCTAAATGCTCCCTTGCCTATTACTGTTGAGGGCACTGCCATCCTCCCAGTCCCTCAGGCCCTCAGCCTAGATGTCATCCTTGACTCCCAACTCTCATCTTCCCCGAATCCACCCTGTTGACAAGTCCTGTCAATCCATTGTAGCATCTCTCTTCCTTTCCTCTGACACTGCTTCCACCCTGGTGCTGGCCCTCATTACTCAGACCGGGACCATTACAATGACCTGCTGGTTGGTCACCCTGCCTTGAGGCTTTCCCCACCACAGTCCATCCTCCATTCAGCTGTCAAAATGTTCTCCCTAAAGAGCAGATCTGATCATACCCCCCCCCCTTCCCTCACCCCTATTCAATAAACTTCAGTGGTTCTCTGTCACCTCCAGGATCAAATATAAAATCTGCTGGGATTCAAAGCCCCCTCCAACTTTTCCATTCTTCTTACACTTTACTACTCACCCACCCCTAATGCACATACTCTGTTCTCCAGTGATACTGGCCACCTTGCGGTTCTTCACATAAGGCACTCCATCTCCCAACCTGGGATTGTCGCCCTTGTCTGGAATTCTCGCCCTCCTCATCTCCAGGCTTCCCTAATTTCCTTAAAGTCTCATCTAAAATCCCATGTTCTGCAAGAAACCTTTCCTAATTCTTCTCAATGCTAGTATATTTCCTTTAAGAGTATCTCCAATTTATCCTGTCTGTATCTTGTTTGTACAGTTATTTATATGTTGTCTTCCCCATTAGGCTTATTAGAACAACCACTGTTTATTGCCTTTCTTTGTAACCTTTGTTGTTAGCACTGTGACTGGCAATACATAGGGGTTTAATAAATACTTCTTGACTGAATGCTAAGAGCCATCATGATCCTGGTAGCGAGTCTGATGTGCTGATGTCAAAAAATGATAATATATGTTTTCTATTTGTTTAACTTAGCTTATTGTGAAGAATATATATCAAAGTTGACTGGCCCATGTATTCTTTGGTTTGGGAAACACTTTGCATGATGCATATTGTAACTCTTTCAATCCTACTCATCCCTCTTCATTCACATCCATGTATTTTTATAAATCATCCATGGAACTTTCCAACTGTACTACAGACTTTTCTCTCGTTCTTTTAATATTTCATGGGTTCAAGTGTTTGTTTCCCAAGGTGATCAGGGAAAAAGGAAAAGATTTAATATGTTCTAAAATATTCATAGCAGTTCTCTTTGTGGTGGCAAAGACCTGGAAATTGAGGGGATGCCCATCAATTGAGGAATGACTGAACAGGCTGTGGTACATGGTTATGATGGAACACTGTTGTGTTATAAGAAATGATGAGCAGGTTGATTTAAGAAAAACATGGAAAGACTTGTATGAAATAATGAAGACTGAAATGAGCAAAACCAGGAAAACGTTATATACAGTAACAGTAACATTGTTATAAGAATAACTGTGAATGACTAAGTTATTCTGTGTATTATAAATATATAAATTATGAAGGAACTGTGAAAGAAGATGCTATCCACCTCCAGAGAATGAACTGATAAATAGGAAGTATTTATATTATGGTTTTACATGTATGTGTGCATATACACACATGTGGCTGTATATATATATATGTATCTGTGTGTATATATATGTATGTGTATATGTTTATGTGTACACATAATGTATATGTATGTACATATATATGTTAAATGGTAGCCTTCTCTAGTGGAGGGTGGGGAGACAGGGAGGCAATTCAGAACTTAAAATGTTACAAAAAAAATTAAATTTTTAAGAAGTGTAGTACCTGGGCTTGTCTATCTATTATGCCCATTCTCATTCTATGTCATTTTCCAGAAGGAACACATTTTTTTAAACTGCTATGCTCCTTCTCACAAGAATATCTACTGTGGAGAGAGGATGCCAAATATTGTCTCTATATAATGTGATTAAGTAAATGCTGAGGTGTGGGATTTTATGGTTTGTCTGTTAAATAATAGTTGTCTTCTCATCTTCCTATAGGTCTACTGGAAAGGAGTTTGCCCTAAAAATAATAGATAAAACCAAGTGCTGTGGAAAGGTAGTGTATACAGCATTGCCAACAAAAGTAACTAAAGTAACCTTATTAAGACTATGAGAGTTTTTAAGTGTGCTGTTTTCTCTCGTGTGTGTGTGTGTGTGTGTGTGTTAATGAGTTATAGTTTTCCATTAAATGGACAAATATATTGGGAACCTGATATGATGTTTAAAAAAATTTAGAACCATAGTATTGGTAGAATGTTGAAAATCTGACCAGCTCAGGGCCATGAGTCTTTCAGGTTTGTGCTTCCTGTGTTTCAAACTTTACAAAAAAAATTCAGAAGTACTTGTCCATCCATGACACCTCATTTCTTAGGTGGTTCCCTATGCTGTTAAGCTCTTAGCTTTCCAAAAAAAAAAATAAGCAGTTTTTAAAAGATAGAAGATCTTTTTCAACTCTATTCTTTTGTTCTAGGGATGAGAAGAAATATTATTTCTAGGGATGAGAAGAAAATGTTATTTTCATTTAAAAATTAATGAATTTATTTTGCTTTGTCACAATACATACTTTCTAGAAGACACCCAAACTACTCTCTAATGCAGATTCCCTGAAACCAGTTTAGCAAAAACACCTAGTAGAGTGATTTCTACAGCTATCATTTTGTTGTTGTTATTGTTATTTCATTCAGTCAGCAAACATTCATTAAAAGCACTGATTGTAGAGAAAAAGAAAAAACAAGGACAGGTCCTAACTTCAGTGAGCTTACATTTTAATAGAAAAAATAACTTGTATGTAAATACTGTAGGTGCATACAAGATACATACAGAGTACAGTTGGGAAGCCGCTAGCACTGGGGATGGGGGAGAGGGAGTAAAAGCCTCTTGTTGAGGTGGCATTTGAGCTGAGTTCTGAAGGAAGTCAGGAGGAAGACAAGGGGGGAAGGAAATAAGTCTGCATATAGTACTACCATGTGTCAGACACTGTGCTAAGCACTTTTCAAATATCTCACATGTCTCACAACAACCCTTCGAAGTGGGTTGCTTATTATCCCCATTTTATAGATAAATGAGGAGACTGAGGCAAACAGAGTGATTTGTTCAAGATCACACAACTAGTGAGTACTTTAGTCTGGTTTTGAACTCGGGTCTTCCTGACTCAAGGCCCAAAGCTCTATCTACTGAGCCAAAGTCAGTGTAAAGATATGGATGTAAGAGATGGAGAATCATGTATGAGGAATGCTAAGTAAACCAAAAAACAAACAGACAAAAAAAAGGCAAGGGAGAAATGAAGACTTATATATAGGAATATAATAGGAATAGACTAAGTTTTGAGGAACTATAAATGCCAAACAGGAGATAATTTTTTTGTTTTTTTATTTTTATTTTTCTACTAGTTGTAATTGGAAGCCACTAGAAGTTATTGAGTGTGGTGGGGGGAGGGATGACATGGTCAGATCTGTTCTTTAGCAGTCAAGTGGAAAGTGGATTGGAGGGAGGGAGAGATGTAAGGCAGGGAGATCAGTCAGAAGGCTCTTGCAGTAAATAGGGTGAGAGGCTATTAGGGCCTCAACTAGGGTGAATGGAGAGAAGCGAATGTATAGGCGTTGTACTATGGAGGCAGAAAGAATAAGATACGGCAATAGATTGGATATGTTGTGGGAGTGAGAGTGAGGAGTGGAGGAAGGCACTAAGATGAAAAATCCAAGTGACCAGGAGGATGATTGTGTGATTTGACAGTAATGGGGGAGAGGGGATAGAAGCAAGAAGCAAGGGACATTTAATACTTAGGGGATGCGTGCCAACTGATATGACAGATGCTGGGAGGTTGGCCTTGGGTTTTCTCAAATGAAGAATCAAAGAGTAGGGCTTATGTTGTTATTCCCCATCCATGCCTCCCCCCCACACCCCCTTGAGTTTCTACATGTAAAATATTGAGATTCCTTGGGAAAGGCAGAATAATTTTCTAAAGCTCCTAATATTTGTTAGGTTGTTTCAGTTGCATCCAACTCTTTGTGACCTTATTTGAAATTTTCTTGGTGAAGATACTGGAGTGGTTTACCATTTCCTTCTCCAGCTCATTTTCAGTTGAGGAAACTGAGGCAAACAGGGTAATGTGACTTGCCCAGAATCATGCATCTAGTAAATGTCTGAGGCCAGATTTGAACTCAGGAAGATGCATCTTTCTGACTTCAGGTCAGCACTCTTATCTATTGTGCCACCTAGCTGCCCAAACCATTTTAAAATTTATTTATTTATTTTTAGTTTTCAACATTCACTTCCATAAGATTTTGAATTCCAAATTTTCTCTCCTCCCTTCCCCCCACCTCAAGACAGCATGCAATTTGATATAGGCTCTACATATACATTCATGTTGAACATATTTTCACATTAGTCATGTTGTAAAGAAGAATTAGAACCAATGAGAGAAACCACCAGAAAGAGGAAACAAGCAAAAGTAAAAAGAGCAAATAATATGCTTTGATCTGCATTCAGACTCCATGGTTCTTTTTCTGGATGTGGACAGATTTCCATTATGAGTTTTTTGGAGTTTTCTTAGATCGCAATTGCTAAGAAGAGATGAGTCTATCAAAGTTAGTCATTGCACATTGTGGCTGTTACTGTGTACAATGTTCTAGCCCAAACTCTTAATAAGGCCTTACTTAATAATATAGCTTTGTCCAAACCTGTGTATATTTGTATATATTCTGTACCATGCAGTATCAGTTTGCCTGCATTCCCAGATTGAGGAAGGGTAGTACCGGCAGTTACAAAATTCTAAGAATCAATAGCGTATACTTATACATATAATAAGAGTTTTGAACTTGACAGGAAAGACAAGGAAGGAAAGCACTGTAAACAGTTTTGTTTGACAGGGAAAGAGGGATGGAGTGAGTTAGGGAGTTATGACAATTTTTCCATGCAGGAATGAGGGCCATGATATTAGATGACATGACTGTGGTGGATCCAGTCAGCACAGTGGTGTGACTTCTTCCAGTTGCTCCAGAGTATGAATGAAAAGACATCTGTTGGGGTTTCACATTAGCTGAGGTGGGGGATTGGAAAAGGAAAGGGACAAGAAGTCAACGGTAGTGGTTAGTATATAGCTGTTTGGTGTCAGCACTGTGAAGAGAAGAACATGAAGGCAAAGGAGGAGAATCCATTCATCTTTGTAGAAGGTAAATTTTGCAAAGTTGAATTAAAATTTTTCCTTTCATTTTTTAAAAAAGTAAAGCATTTGCTGAATTAAGGTCATTAAATGTATAACTGAGTAAAATTTCAGCAACCATAGGCATGTTTTTGCAGCTGTAAGGCTTTTACTTGTGAACCTTGAGATCAGTGCCCTTGAGTAGATGATTAAAATGTGGAGGTCATTTTTGAGAACTTGACTCATTTTCTCTGATGCCTCAACATAGTCTTAAAAAAAACCCCAACAACATGATCTTAAATTGTGTTTCCTCTGATTTTTCTCCCTTTTGCTTAATTTGCTTGACTTTCCAACGTTATTGGTTGTGGGAATTGTAGATGCATATGGCACTACTTTTATTCATCACGTTGCTCCCCTGTGAACTGAGATGTCGGAAGTGACAGTGGCCTCTTTTCATTGTGTTTAGAATTCTTACGTTAGGAGCCTTGCTAGCAAGCATTCTTTGTGTCATTTCTTTTTAATATACTCCAAAGAGGCAGCCCAGATTCAGTGAGCAGCAAGGGTTAACCAGTCAGCTATTGAGAGCAAGAATAGATTCATTGTTCCTTAGCAGCATGAAGCAGTACATTACGGGAAGGCGGAGACCACTCCCTTCTCACTCAGGTTTTACACACACACACACACACACACACACGCGCACACGCGCGCGCGCGCGCGCGCTTCATTGTCAAAGATGATCTTGTGTTCAATTCACGCACATCAGTTTTCATTGTCATCCCCCTCTGCTTTCATGTGATAAAATAAAGCTTTGGAATGGGTTCACATGTCAGTTGTTTGGATACATTATTATGCACCAACCATTCAGCGTGCATATCGATGGATATCTGAGTAATGTAAACTTAGAATGGTAGAAGACGAAAATGATATCTAAATGGCATTTAGAAATTTACAAATGATTATGCACTTTTACCAAACACTAGTTTCCTTTGTGGAAAATTTGATTTAGAGAGGATATCATGTGTTAGAAACATAGCTTATACACTGTTGTATGTGAGATTGGAAGATAACATTGATAAGGGTGTTTGGATATTGTAGATTTTAGAGTTCTGTTTTCTGATAATGTTGCTTTTTAAAAATTGAAATACCCATCAGTTGTAACAGACTGACTCTTTAGAAGCATTCTTAGGAAGAATATTGGACAATGAGAGGGGAAAATGACTCTCATATTCCCCAGAACATTGACCATGCAGAAGTTCCAAGTCATTGAAAAAGCAGTATGTGGTAAATTGCATGAGTATAGATGCAGTGTTCCTGGAATAGCACCTTATCTTTGAAATATCACATTTCTGGTGACCCTAGGAGAAGCCCTACCATATATTTCAGAGCATTTTCCCTTGTACTTTTATTGGGAAAAAAAAAAAGTAGTACCTTCAGGGAGAAGCAATCCCCTACTGTGTTGTGTCATGGAACATCAGAGTTGGGAGAAGATCTCATGGGTCATGGAGTCCAATCTGTACATAAGAACCACCCTCTACAACTTTTCAAGAAGTTAGTCATCCAGTCTTTGCCTAATGATCTCCAATGAGGGGGAAAACTCTCTCCTGAGGCCGCCTATTCCACTTTTGGATAGCTTATCCTCATTTTCATGAGAGCGTCTTCCATTTGCCTCCTCTATGTCACTCTAAATGGGGATTTATATCCTGAATTTGAACAATGTAGAAATTTGCCTGAAGGTCATTATAATTTTGGAGGCTACAGGGCTGGTTTAACTTTAAATGACAATGCTCCATAACTGGTTTTCATGGTTTAGACTGGTAATAAATACCATCATCATCTTAGTTATTTGTTTCATAAGGATCAAGATGAATTTATTTATCTTAATCCTATCATACTATCGAGACTGCATCCAGCTTTTCATTTCTCAAGATAGGTAACAAGCGTTTCAAAAGAGGTGGGCTAAAGAGAATGCATATTCTCAAACTAGGTGCTTCAATATGAAGAAATGGCAGTTTGTGCCAAACCTTCCTTCCCTTCATCTCTTGTGAAAAAGAGAAGCTGGCTGCACAACTGCTTCCTTATGGCAATGTGCAAGAGATTTTGCAGCTGCTTCTAAGAGTTGTATTACCTAGAATTGTTAGACCTGTCTGATTTAGAAACGGTAAAAATCCTTATCTTTCCAGAAGCCCTCTAAGCTACAGGGGCTACAGGAGTCACTAACACTTCAACTGTGTGACAATTGGCTGAGGTTACTGAAAGTTGGAGGGGGAGGGGGAGACTAAGGAATCTCCCATGACGGTCATTAAAAACATGAAAGACTCTTTTCTGACTTGGAGAGATTGGCATGGTTTTACCTGAAGGCTACTGGGTAAGATGACTTCCTCAACCCAACAATAACATAATTTTTACTTAAAAGTTTTTTAAGCAGTCAAATATGTTTAAGTTTGCAGCTGTCATTTTCTTTTTGAGAAATTCAATGGAATTTCATCCATGTAATTCATCACAAACCATGTTCTCAGTGATGTGCTAATAAATATTTAACAACCAGCCCTCTGGGAAAAATAATGTACACAAGACACACTTTTAAGTTTAATCTGCATTATTAACATTTTCTTCATCATTTAAGTCTAGACAATCAAGAAAACAAATCAAGCCATGATTTTGTAGCATTTTGGGATTTCAGAGGTGTGAATGCTCACATTGCAAATTTAACAATCTTTGACTGATTCTAGCATATCCCTGTGTGTTTTCGTTATATCAATAGCAACATTTAGTTGGGTGCCTGTTTTCTTTTAGGACTTTTTTTTCTTTCAAAACAGAACAAAATAAAACAAAGCAAGACAATTTCTCTTAGTGGTAGCCAATGCTGTTTGGGGGTCTGGACCTGTGATTTCATCACTACGAGGAATCTCCCAGTATAGAAATTCTGCAACAATGCAGATCTCAACAATGTCCATGTAGATGAGAGACTTAACAAAGTTTATGCAGCTATTAAGTGACAGAGAAAGAAATTTAACTTGGTTGCTCCACAAATACTCAGTTCTAGCTACTATGCTGTATTCCATTTTAGAGCCTTTATTTATTTATTCACTCATTAATTTATTTATTGAATCAGTGGTCCAGGACAATTAATATGATTAACAGAACACAAACCTGTGTGGGTGTATATAATACAACATAGAATACAGTATGAATATATAGTGTCATACTATATAATGCATATATATGTATATGTATGTGCATATATAAATTTATTCATATTTATATATGTGCATGTGTTTATATATTTATTTACATAAATACATTATGTATATATCTATATGTACACAGATATATAAATGTATATATGTATTTGTGTAAAGAAATTATCTTCCTGTTATAATATTATTTTTCTATAATGCTGATCTCACATGGGTCACATCAACCCTCATAGATAATCCACTGGTGGGTGGTTTTGTTTTGTTTTGTTTTGTTTTTGAGTCAAAATAGAGTTAAAATTAAGATAATAGTCTTTATGGTACTATATGTTTCCAGATTTCTATGCTCCAAGATAATAAAGAACATCTATCTGGGGAATGAATTCATGAGTAATAGTTAAAAAATGTATCTTTCTCTTCAATTGTAGCATGAAATTCAAATTGTGATTAGTAACAGCTTAAAATCTAGTAACATCCTCAAGGCCATTAACTGCATTCAAAATACCACATGGATTAAGATTAAAGTATTCTACATTCTGATGTGCCTGGTCTTTTTTTTCCCTTTGTGGCTTAATAAAATTATCTTGTTATTAGCAGTTCTGGAAAAACAAAGGTTAAAACATAGTAAGACTTGTCAGTACTATGTATGATAAAATCACCTCTATGAAAGCATCATGTTATTATATCCCTTTCTCTCCAAGTGGACAACTATCTGACTTAGATATGATATAGATGACTAAAGTGGTGTTAATTACAGCTATAACAGCAGCTAAAGAAAGTTAGATTATCTTCAAAATAATTTTTGTATTCATAATTGGCAGAATCTAGGCTACTAAGTTACAGTATGGGGCTTTGAGCTAGTATCTAATAAATATTTGCCTTTAAAATCTAACCCCTGACTACAAGACAATAAGAATTCTGCCCTTTACATACCAAGATATCCATACTGATTCATCAGTGGACGAGTCAAGTTGTTTCATTCCTATTGTCTTGGCCTCTCCCTCTGGTAACCCACCTACGTTTTTTGAGACAACTGATTACTTCCTACAATTTGGACCATGTCACTCCCTTTCTCTAGAACCTTCATTAACTTCACATTTCCTCTGAAACAAAATGTCAACACGTTAGGTTATCATTGAGAGCCCTTCCTCTACATTGTGGTCAAACAGGCCTGCTTGCAATTTCCTAAATTTAGCACTTCATCTTCCACTCTCATGCCTTTGAATAGGCTGTCCCCTGTGCATGGAATACATTCCCTCTTTGCTGCCATTTCTTATAATCCTTAGCTTCCTTCAATCATTCCTTTAGTTCTTCTCTCAAATTAAAATGCATATCCTTCCCTTTGGGTGGATTGTATCCTCCCCCCAGTAGATTATAATCTCTTTGAGGGCATGCACTATATCCTTGAATGGTCCTTGTCCTTGTATCCCCAGCTCACCCCTTTCTCATAACTGTGCCTTGCATGTGGTGTATGATATTAAAAAATTCCTTTTGGAATGGATTGGTTTAAATGGAGGCACACACCAAAGGAGTCATTCTCCTTTAAGATAAATTGTCCATTTGGTAACAAACCACAAACTTGAGGTCCTTAGCATCGTTCTTCAACCAACTAAGCTAAAGGGCAATGTCCACCAGAGAAGGTTGTCTATAATGGCTGTTGGTTGGAGTTTGGATTCACAAAGGACAAAATTAGGTACCATTTATAAAGCACTTTGCAAACTCTAAAGCATTATATAAGTACCAGCTATTACTAAATAGAGGAGAGACTGCTATTTTCTAAATCAGTTTCTCTCCCATTTCTTAGGAACACCTGATTGAGAATGAAGTGTCAATACTGCGCAGAGTTAAACATCCAAATATAATCATGCTGATTGAGGAAATGGATACTGCTACTGAGCTTTTTCTGGTGATGGAATTAGTTAAGGTAAGAAGCCTTGGGGATTTTCTTTGATCATTTTCAGTGCTGACTTCAGTGTTAAATAAAGTTTTGTGTTTTTTTTAAGCCCAGCCAGAAAAGTACTCCACTGGCATGTAACTATTGTTTTCTTCAGTTATAGGTTTAACCGTTTCGTTTACCAGCTCGAAAATCATCTATGGTTCCCTATTTCCTATAGGAGTAAAAAAAAAGACAGACTTCGACAACCTGAAGCCGTCTGACCTACCTAGACTTATTTCACATTATTCTTATGTTCAAACCAGACTATTAAATACTTTCCCAACTTGAATCTGTCTTTCACCTCTTCTTTTATCCCTGGGCATTTGTTGAGACTTACCCCCTCCCCCCCATGCCTAGTAAACATTCATGTCATCCTTCAAGGCTCTCCTTAGGTACTCACTTTTCTGTAAAACCTTCTCTGATCCTGCCATCTTGGAAGTGTATTCTCTCTCTCTCTCTCTCTCCAAAATTTCCTCAAATATTTTGGGTCTCTAAGCTATCACATTCTTCCTTGTATTACACTTATCTTAGTTCCTGTCCTCAAGGAGCTCACATTCTATACTTTTTAAAATTTTATATCCCCAATACCAAGCTCAGAGTTACATGGTAGTTAACCTAATAAATATTTGTTGAATTGAACTGCCCACATTAATTCTCATTTTCCATGTAAGTTTTAATGGAATAGTTGTGCTCTGATATAAAAGCCTGATAGCTGTGCATTATACATAGAAGTAATTGCTTGTTGACATTTTGTGGTATTTGCTTTAGGGTGGCGATCTCTTTGATGCGATTACTTCCTCAACCAAGTACACAGAGCGAGATGGGAGTGCAATGGTGTACAACCTAGCAAGTGCCCTGAAGTATCTTCATGGTCTCAACATCGTGCATAGAGACATCAAGCCTGAGAACCTGTTGGTAAGTCAGGAGGATGGTGGGAGTCATCCTACAACCCCTTGAACTTAACATTTGTTCCTCTGAAATGAATAGGATCATATGTTAAAGGAGAAAACTGCTTGTCTCTGCTACTCATGGCTTAGAGTGCTGGGAGAGCATGCATTCTGAGTGTCAGCAGCCTTGAAACAAATCAATTTCCCTAAAATATTGATAGGCAGCTCAATTGATATTATTTAATATTTGCCAGGAACTGGAACCCTTGCTCATTCACATTTTGATCATAAGATCAAAGATTTAGAGCTAGATTAAAGCTGAAAGAGATCTTCAAACTCATCTAATCCAACCTCTTATTTTATACAAGAGGGCACTAAGGATGAGAGAAGTTGTTTGATTTGCTCAGAGTCTCATAGGTAGGAGTGTCAGGGCTAGAATTTAAACTGAGAATCTGTACTGTGCTAATCCCAGTGTGGTTGTTCGTCCTTCCTTTTCAAAGAGGACCAGTGACATCATGGGGGTGATGTCTTGGCTTGCATGTGAATTGGATTTAAGTGAGGCAGAGTTGCACAAAGTTGTCAGCTTCACTCAGAATGACTGCTGATGACCCAGGATGCAGCGGATGACCTTGGCATCTTCAATGCCTGACCAAGCTCTTCCCAGCATGGTATTGGGGTTTTGATCGTCTGTTCCAACCACCTCATTTTACAGATGAGGAAACTGAAGCCTTGAAAAGTAGAGTGATTTGTTCAAGGTCTTACAACTAATTAACACCAGAACTAGAAATAAAACCCAGGTCTGAATACTAGCTCAATGCTCTATAACACAACTTTTCATGAAAATGAGTATGAAGGAATTTAAGGACAACAATTCTCAGTGGCCTTTTGGTAGATTAAAGTCTCATTATTTTTTTACCTCCTCTACTCCAGCAGTATAGTTTGATGGCTTCTTATTGTCTTCGTTTTAAATGATGTGAGTTTTTCTTTTCTTCCTGTCCTTTCCCCTGAAGGAATTATATTTCATTGCTATGTCTTCCCATTAGGGAAATAAATATCTCCTGCCCTGTAATGTGATATGTATCGTAGACTCTGTTTTATGAACCCTAAGATGGAACTGAGGACAGAATTGCAATCCCTATCTCCTAGGCAGAGGTGGGGATACTGTCTTAACAATTCAAAACAGGTGTCCTTGTATCATTTATCAGGACCTGCTGTTTCTGGTGCAGATTTCTGTTTTGGTTACCACAAGCTAGTTATCCTGCAAGGGAAACAGAGAAATTATACAAAAATGATTATGTGTATTTTAATTAACCAGCTCTCCTTGTATGAAATCATAAGACTAGTCCAAAAACAAAAACCAAACACTCCTTCATTTCTTCAGCCTGTGTCCAGTTGAATGCAATTCAAGAAAACATTTAATGAGCAGTTACTATATGCAAGGAAGGCATTGTGCTAAGCATTAAGAATACAAAGACAAAAATAATATCATGTATGTTCTCAAGCAACTAATATTTTGCTGGGGGACACAATACACACACAGATAAGTAAATATGAATATATATAAAGTAAATGCAAAAAGCTTTCAAGTATATGCAAAATGATTTTTAGAAAGGGGCATCAGTTATTTCACAAACACTACAGATTGAAAAACAAGAGAGATGTTTTCAGGCCTCCAAAAGGGAGTAATTGATCTAACATCGGTGTGGTTTAATTGTAGCAATGGTTCAAGCATGGTTGGAGTGTGGCAATGAGGAAATGGGGAATTTTCCATTTACCAGTGAATTCCTTTGTCCTTGTGCTCTGATGCATGCACATCAGTTTCTCTCTTATAGGTTCCTTATCATGACAGTGTCTCTGTTTTGTCCCTCTAGCGCTTTCTTTCTCACATACAGGTATGGATTTTTAACTGTGTAAAAAGCATTAAAATCACAGGGTTGAAATTTTTGCACGTGAAGTATTATTTGCTTAAACAGTTCCATGTGTGAGATACATGCCAGCAAATTAATGCTACCCGAAAGGATATAGGAATGAACATGTAATGAAAGGTATCATCTGTGATGGGCTAATAATAGTAGCTTGATATTTATATGGCACATAGAGGTTTACAGAGTGTTTTACATACATTATCTCATGTAATAATCACTAGTGTCAAGATGCCCTAGCATTAGGTTGATATGACAATTGAGGATTTCCAAAAGAGACTTAGGTGTCAAAAATGTCCTCTTAGCAAAGAAAGCTTAAATAGATCATTCTGCAGATGCAAGATTACTCACTGTCATTGGCACCAGACTCAGGTGGGAAAGTGTCTTGCAATATTGAGAATAAATGCAAATAGTGACTATAAGTTTCTTCCTGTTTCTAAAAAGTAATTCCTTTCTTTGCTATCAGATCACTCAGCCATCTGATTTGCATCCTTTTCCCCAGTAGCCTGGCTGTAATTTATCCACTCTGCCTGGAAAGATAGATGGGTAGTCATGCCAAGGAGCATGGGGCTTGCCATTAATGCTGTGAGTTACAGTACAGCAGTGCCCTGTTGGAGTTTACTGGGGCAGACCAGTGATAAATTCAGCTTTTCCGAGAGATCTCGGGATTGAGGAGGGAAGAGGGCTCCACACATTCACAGGACCATCTAAATCATGCTGCAACACTTTACTAGGAGAACAAAGCAGTGTTTCTTTTGCATATAGAAGCTGATAGTTAAACATCCTTTTCTGAATCACATTGACACATTGAGCAGAAAGAACTATCCTGTTATCTGCAATTCCTAACATAGCAGGGGAAGCGCAGGCTTTTAACCCTGAGGCTCAGAGTGTAATTAGCAATTTGGGCACCTGGGGCAATTCAGTTTGGGTAGGGACTTCAGTCTGTACTGGGAGGCCACTATTGGTTACCTGGAGTGTGACCACTATAGAGTAGGAAGCCTGAAATCCTCTAGCCTCTTATTTAATTGCTGACTAAGTGCTAGGGTGTAAGAAATTCAAATGTTGTTAGTGCCTGTCAAAGCTTGATGCTCCGGAATAAAGACCCTGCCACTCATCCTACTTATAGTTCTTCCTAGGTTTTCTTATATGTTCAAAGTCAGTATTCCACAGGATAGCAGGGGTGAGACTGAGAAATTTGTCTACTTCTCTTCAGTGGCAAGCTGAGATAATTACAATGACATTAATTAAGGAACCAATGGTAAATAGTAATTTGTGAGGTTTGCTTTTTTTTTTTTTTTTGATGGGGGAGTCATCATACTTTTTACCCAGTTCAGGAATTGATAGTTTTTAGACTTCATCCAACCCCATTCATATTCCAAATTAGGAAACTGAGGCTCAGAAAAGTTAAATGACTTTCCTAAATTTATTGAGGTAATGAACAGAGTTGGTATTTGTATTTGAACCTTCACCTTTGACTCTTGCCACCTAAAGAATATATCAAAAATATTTTCATTTCTGGCTCAGATTTAATATTCACTGTATGTGTTCATTGTATACTAGTGGTGATAGATAAAGGACAGTATGTTTTTTACACATCTGCTTCATAGGACATTGTCCATTCAGTGCTTAGCTGGAGTAATGCCACTTACCTCACTGTAGCATTCATGTATCTGACTCTGAATTCTGTGGAGGGAAAATATTGGCTCTTTGGGCCTCTCATTCTCCAAGTGAGGCCCTGAAGCTGGTCCCAGGCATGTCTAAGTTGAAATTTCTTAAGCAAATATTGTTTTTCTGAAAAATGTTTGTAATAAGTATTTGTTTTAGCCTCATGATTCAGTCAGTTGGCAAATGATACGAATAATGTACTCACTGATGCAAATTACTCAGGGGAAATTTATTCCTAAACTGTGGGTTATGATAAATACACTATAAATTACAATTGTAATTCTACATGTAATGTTTTCTCTTTAATATTTACGTTAAACATTATGAATGAAAACCCATCCTTTAGAAGTCTCTAGAATGAATGCAAATCTGGTTCCTATTATTTTATGTAAAATATTGATTGCCTCTATGATCCTGTCGAGTCCTGTGCAGATTCAGGATATTAAGCACTATTGAGGAGAAAAAATACCCATCAGTATTCTTTGATCATCTTGAGGCATAAAAATGTGGTTCTTTGTGGGTGTGGGTAGGTACATGTATAACCTAGAAGGAGAAACAGGACAAAAACATCATTGTAACTTAATTTATGATTATTGAATTAATAACCCAGAAAAGTCTTGTGATTATTAAAAGAGGACATGATAGGCAAAACAATTATAATTTCAAACTTCTAAGAAATAATGGAGATTAGAGAAGAGAAAAATCAAACTCCTTGATGGAAATGATTAAGGGAGATATAAATTCCCATTATGTTAGCAGTCAGGTGATGCTCCAATCCTAGACCCGGAGTCAGAAAGATCTGAGTTCAGATCCAGCCTTAGACACTCACTAGCTTTGTAGTTCTAGGCAGTTCATGTAACTCCCTTGTGTCCGTGAGTGCGTGTATATGTATGTGCACACACCATAGCTGAATACAAGGTAGTTTGGAGAACAGGCACTAACTGTTGGGTGAATCAAGAAAGACTTCAGGTAGAAGGTGGAGCCCAAGCTGTGCCTTAAAGGAAGAAGATGGCAGCTTGGTGTTGATGTGGATGGAGTGCGGGGCCTGGAGTCAGGAAGACTCATCTTCTGGAGTTCAAATCCAACCTCAGACACTTACTATCTGTGTGACCCTGGGCAAATCACTTTATCCTGTTTGCCTCAATTTCCACTTCTGTCAGATGAGCTGGAGAAGGAAATGGCAATGCACTCCAGTATCTTTGCCAAGAAAACTCCAAATGGGGTCACGAAGAGTCAGATGAACAAAGGAGAGAGTACACTTTAGGTTAGTGTAAAGGCACAAAGATGGCAGGTGGTCTGTCATAAATGTAGAACAGAGGGAAAGCCAAACTGGTTGGATCAAAGAGTGTCATAGGGGAAGCTGAGTTCTTCCCCAAGACACCCCTCCCCCCACCATAACCACTGCCTCACCAAAGGTGGTGTGATTTTTTTTTTAACCTTATGACTTCTTAAAAAAAAAAGGAATAATGTATATATTCCTTTTATTAGTTGTTTCTTGTACCTAATTAATAATTGAGTATACAATTAATTCTGCGAGCTCATTCCATTACTCAAGGCAGGTTTGTAAGTACAAGTAACCAGCTGGAGTCTGTGACCATTCTAGCCAGGGACTAGCTACTCCCTTTCCCACTTCTTCTTGAGAACACTCCTTTTATTCCACGTGAATGATGTGATTTCTCATGGTGATGATGATGACCCATTGTACTTTAACTACTTTATCTCATTTGATCCCCACAATAACCCTGCCAAGGTAGAGGTTATTATTCCTATTTTACAGTTGAGGAAACTGAGGCAAAAAAAGAGGTTAATTGATTGGCCCGTGGTCATGCAACAACAACAACTTTCTGGCTCCAGGCCCCCTACTCTAGCTCCATTTTATAGCTGTAGAAATGAATACTTAGGTTAAGTGCTTTGTTCAAGGTCACACAGCAGGTAAGTAGCAGGGGTGGGATTCAGATCCAGCAGCCCCCAGGAGCCAGGGGCCACCAGGGTGCCTGCCAAGGGTGAGCTGGCCCAGGGTGGAAACAAGTAGGTCAAAGCTTCTGTGCTGATCACCCATGGGCTTGGCCAAGTGGCTTCTATACCTCTAGCCTCCTAAAACAAACAAATAAAGTAAAGTAGCTGGACTAGGTGGCCTTGGTCTATTCTAGCTTTCAGTCTATGGTCCTTTGATGCTGTCTCTTCCTTGAATATGGAACGGCTTTAAATTCACTAGGAGAACTCCCTTTGTTTTATTTATTTTATTATTTTTTTTTTGGTGGCAGTTGGGATTAAGTGACTTGCCCAGGGTCACACAGCTAGTATGTGTCTGAGGCTGGATTTAAACTTGGATCTTCTTGACTCCAGGCCCTAGTGCTCTAGCTTGCATGAGAAGTTAAAAAATAAAGATGTGATTTTTTTTCCCCCCACCCAAGTGTGTGATCTCCCTGAAAATTGTACCCAGATTCAAGAATCGCTGTCATAGATCCTCTTCTCTAAATATTTTTGTGCATGTCCCACCCCTCCCTTCCCCGTTAGATTGTAAGCTGCTTGAGGTCAGAAATCAGGTATTCTATTCAAGTCAACAAATGCTAATTAAGCTCCTGTTGTGTGAAGGCTTGGTGAGCCCTTTTAAGGGCTACTCATCTACCTTTGGTGTCTATCTGATTCACCCAACTCTCACCTGTGCTCCAAGAAATTGCAGCATGCATAGTGGCCACACCCAGGTAAACTGTCTTGGCAGATAGGCTTAACCAAACTGAGGGTAACTGGCAGGTCTTAAACCCACTGGTGAGTTAGGGCAGTGTGTGGCAAGCATGTGAAGACATTCCCTGGTAGAATGGGTGTATGAAAACCATTTGTTCTCATGGCCTTGCAGGTGGTTGAAGCCAGTGCTGTGGAGCGCTTAGAGCTTGGTTAGACATTGAAGTTATCAAGGTCATCCACTGTATCCCAGACCATATCCAGTCATCTTGACTTTGGTCCTGCCAATGGACTTTGATGACTCTGGAGGAGAGAGTGAGGCTGATGACTTTGCACAGTGCTGGCTCACTTAAATCTGATTCACAGGCAAGTCAAGACATTGCCTGTGATGTCATTGGTCCCCTTTGAAAGGAAGGACAAACAACCACAAAGTTACCAGGAGCTGGGTATACAAAGGTGACAGTCCCTGCCCTCAAAGGGGTCATATGGGACATTGGAACTTGGGGTTGGAAGATTATCTAATCCAACCTCCCATTTTATAGGTGAGAAAATGGAGCTCAGGGAACAGAAGCAATGTGCCTAAGGGCACACACACATCATCTTAAGTAGCAGAGCCAGGAAGACTGAGGCCTTCTGATGCCAGCCCCTTATCTATTTTTTTAAATGTTTTTTTTTTTTAATTTTTAGGCAATTGGGGTTAAGTGACTTGCTCAGGCTCACACAGCTAGTAAGTGTCAAGTGTTTGGTCTGAGGTTGGATTTGAACTCAGGTCCTCCTGACTTCAGGGCCGGTGCTCATTGTGCCACCTAACTGCCCCCAGCCCCTTTTCTATTGTGCTGCCATACTGCTCCCCAGTCTAATTGGAGAGAACATGGCATGTCTTACTCATCTCCATATACCTCACAGAAGTAGTGGGAATGTATGTCTTAACTAGGGGGACGCAAATATCATATAACCTAGTCCAAAAAAGTTGACTAATACTTGCAAATACAGAAATAAGACCAGCCTCCTTTTCCTCCACTCCGAGCCCCAGCTCAGCCTGGAACTTGTATTGAGGGTTAACTTTTGATAACATGAGGTAGGTAGAATTTATCTGAGGGACTTTTGTTGCCAATTCCCTAACCCCTCCTCCCACAGCATCTGGACATTTTCTGCTGCTGCTGTCATTACACTGAGGGTCCCAAGCAGAGACCTGGCCTGCCCTACCTGGTCTCGCTGTCTCATGGCTTCCATGTTCTTACCCTGAGCCTCCTTGAAATTGACCTATTCTTTGCCTTATCTCCCAAGGGCCAGACTTTCTGTGCTTCCCTAGGGGCTAGTCATCTAATCTGATAAACTACTTTTTTTTTTTTTTGCCAAGAGAAGAGAAAACATTTTGAGGAGGATTAATTGGTCCAACCTTCTACGTGCCTCTTTCCCACCCCCAGACCATTGTTTTATAACCCAAAGGTGAGAACTTGATGAAAAATTCAAGACAGGGAACATGAAGGACAGCACCATGACAGATCATTGGGGGAGCAATTTCTGGGAAATTTATAGTTTCATGGCACCCCATTAGGCACATATTGATAGCTTACCTTTACATAGTTTAACAGTTACAAAGCACTTTGTCTCATTTGGTCGTCACTGCAACTAGAAGGCAATGTAAATATACCCTGTTTCACAGAGGGGAAAATGAAGTCTCGAGTGGTTGGGTGAGTTGCCCAAAGTAAAAATAAGTGATGGATGCATAGTAGCAGAGAGCTCTGCCTACTGTTGGGGCTTGTTTTGGGGATAGTGTTAATGAGATGACCACTCCCTGCCCCACTCCCCGTTCCCCCCCCCCCAAGGCATTATAATAAAGAACGCTAGGTTTAGAATCGAAAAACCTGGGTTGAAGCCCAAGTTTTCCATTTACTGCCTGTTTACCTCTCAAGCTTTCATTTTCCTCATCAGTAAAATGGGGTTGTAGATAGATTAGACCCTGGGGGGGCCCTTTTAGCTCTAAATCTATGATCCTACTATAATCATTCAGTCTTTTCAAGATAAAATTGAAGAACATGAAAATAGCACTTATCCCACAAGAAAAAGAAATTTAGGCAAGTTTCTCTCTCCTGATTTGTTTATATAAAGAAAAACATACGCGTATCTCCTCCCACTTCTTTCTCCCTTCTTTCTCTGTACAGTTAGGGAGAGACCATCATCTCCTAATAATTATTGACTTCTCTTGCCTGTAGGTGTGTGAATATCCAGATGGAACCAAATCTTTGAAACTGGGAGATTTTGGACTGGCCACTGTGGTTGAAGGACCTTTATATACTGTCTGTGGCACACCCACTTATGTGGCTCCAGAAATAATTGCTGAGACTGGGTAAGACTTCTCTGGGTTTGGGTCATTGTTTTAGCATTGAGTGAAATGATGATAACTCCTGCATGCTGTTTTGTTGCTCGTATAATCTTGGCACGCTCCCATTTCTGGCATGGAAGCCTCTCCATTGTGCCAGGGAGCTAATGGGAGAATGCCCTTTCCCATGTGGACCCTCTTCCTTGACCTTGGAGTTCAGATTGTGATTGTATTTCAGACCTTGTGTGGTATTGAGCAGTTTCTTCTCTTTTTTCCCTTTTTCTTTCTTCACCCTTAAAATGAAGGCATTATAAAGCATACATTAAATTAAGCATCTAGGTTTGGCTTTTTAAAGGACCAGATTATCAAAAAAGCATAAATAAGAGGACATTTGAAATAACTTTACCTCTGTGTAACTATATACACACTGGGGCAGAAATCAGAACTAAGATAAAGATATATATAAAATGGGTACAGTATTGTAAATAAAAAGATGAGTAAAAGGCAATTGCAATAAGGTTAACTGCAGTGAACAATCTTATGTTGAGAGGAAAAAGGATTGAGATAGCACAGATCCTTCCTGTCAGGAGAGAGAGAGAGAGAGAGAGAGAGAGAGAGAGAGAGAGAGAGAGAGAGTGTGTGTGTGTGTGTGTGTGTGTGTGTGTGTGTGTGTAGGTAGGGGTGGGGGGAGAAGGAGGGAAGGTGAGGAGGACAGATTGTAGGGGCGGAATGTAAATTACACAGTCAGACTTGGTCGCTTTGTCATTCAATTCTGTTTAACTTTTTTTTATTGATAGAAAAAAGTGTTCAGTGTGGGGGAAGGTGTAAGTATATTAGAGTATGATTGTGATGTTTTTAAAAAGGAAGGGTACCAGTAAGAATAGCAACAACAAAAATTAATTTCTTGGGGAAAAGGCTTCACTGTAAGAGAGATTCAAGTTTTTACCAGCTGGAAAAGTTTTGAGTGTCGGCCCATCAATGACCTTGTCTGTCATTGGAGGAATAGTCTGGCTAAGTTTGGAGATCCTCGTCAGCAGATGCTTGACCTCCCAGTGGTCGGTGACTTTGTTTTTGTTTCTGCCGAAGGAGCTCCCGAAAGATGGTTGACTAAGGCGTAAAGCTTTGTGGTCTTTTTCTCAGGGGACGTAGCCGTATCATTGAAATTACAGACTTTTGGCACTTTGAGGTTACATGTATGTCTGTACATGTAATGTAGATGTGTGTATCTGTAGGAGTATAAAATTGTATATATGGAGAGAGACAGGTGAACAAGCATACTTCTCTGGCAGGTTGCCAGCATCCTTGGTGAATGGTGACTCTGGGCAGGGGGAAAAATGTTAAATGACAGAAAACAGGAACATTTTACCATCAGCTCTTGCCCTTTCTGTGTATGTGACTGAAAGAAAGACAAGGCAATTCTATCCAAACAAGGGCACTGAAGGTTTGTGGCCTCAGCTCATCCACTGACTTCTCAGTCACCTGTAGTGGGGGTGGTTCCACCCAGTAGGGCTCTGGGAGATGTAGGACATCTGCTGTCCTTTTTCCTCACTCTGGAAAACTCCCCTAGCTCCCTACGCACACATGCCTGTTCTTCCTTAGCACAAATGAATGAAGGCAGGTGTTCCTTCTACTTTGGGACTGTTCAGCTTAATAAGCATTTACTAATCACTGATGAGATACTGTTCTAGCCTTTGGGGAGCCCAAGATAAAATGAGAAATAGTTTCTGCCTTCAAAGAGCTTACATTCTATTCAGGGTAGGAGCTCTATGTTGCAAAGGATCCTTCTTTTTTTTTCTTGGAGTTTCCTACAGGTCATTAGGGGTTTTGGAAGTTTTAGTCTAAAGGGGCAAGGACATTTCCTCATTGTACTGCCATTCTCTACACAAAAACAAAGCTTCGGGGAGTATGCAGTTATGTTTTGGCCTCTGCAAGAGGGACGTGTGTGTGTGTGTGTGTGTGTGTGTGTGTGTGACTGTATGGTGGGAGGGGAGATGTAGGGTCATGACCATAGTTATTATGGACCTTTCACATATAACTGGGAGACTTGGGTTTGCGAGCTTTGGATACGAAATAGCATAGAATGAGATTCTAACTTGGAAAGAAAGTGGTGTTCTCCTTTGAGGGGCCAGAGCAGGGCACACGTTTTATGAAATGATTGATATGCATTGGAGGATCTCTGGAATACCAAAGCCAGTGCTATATGTGGTAAGTTCTTGAATCTGACCAAGTAACCCTTTTTTCTCCTCTCTCTCACTTGTCTTTTTCTAGCTATGGCCTGAAGGTGGACATCTGGGCAGCAGGTGTGATCACATACATCCTCCTCTGTGGATTCCCACCATTCCGCAGGTCAGTCTCTGGGCCCTGTGATCTGAGCCAAGGCTGGGGGCCAAGGCTACCTGTCGTGGGAGACAGACAAACATTAAGTGACTAAGTTTTCCTTCTCCTCTCAGTGTCTGCAGATTTTGAAGTGGACAGCTGTCTTCTTCCAGTACAATGTTTTTAAAATTTTTCTTCAATCTTATCAAAATAAACCTTTTTTCCCCCTGATTTTTCAATTTTGTTGCTGTTCAGTTGTTTTTCAGTCATGTCTGACTCTTTATGAACCCATTTGGGGTTTTCTTGGCAAAGCCACTGGAGTGGCTTGCCTTTTCCTTTTCCAGCTCATTTTACAGATGAGGAAACTGAGACAGACAGGGATAAGTGACTTGCCCAGGGTCACACAGCTAGTAAGTGTCTGAGGTTGGATTTGAACTTGAGAAGATGAGTCTTCCTGATTTCAGGCACATCACTCTATCCACTGTGCCACCTAGATGCTTTTCTTAAAACTCTACAAAGCTAAAACATCTATCCCTATAACCTCTGTCAGTTTTTTGTGTGCACAGGTAGCCTAGCTGTCTATCTTCATCATCATCATCAATAATCAGCATTTATTAAGTACCTGTGTTCCAGGCACTGTGCTAGATACTAGGGATATGAAGAAAGGCAGAAACATGTTCCCTGCCCTCACAGAACACACATTCTAATGGGAGGAGGGGGAAAGGAGATACACATGTACACATGTATGCATACATATATACATGCACCTACATCCATATGTAAATGTAAGGTACCATGTAAAGGGAGGATCACAATGGTCCATTTTTCTGTGTTGCCTCAGAGCCGTCGCTCAGCCTGGGAGATTCTCATACATCCTTCTTTAAGGTCTAGAAGAAATCTCTCATTCAAATCTCTCATTTTACAGATGAGGCCTAGAGAAGTCACCTGTCCAAGTCACACAAGTAGTAAGGGGCACAGCTAGGATTTAAACCCAGACCTTCTTAGACCCGATCCCAGGCTCTTTGCCTTGTGCTGTGCTATTTCCTCCTAGCCCTGGTAGGTTACTGAGGTAATGAGGTTTGTGGAGTAAAGAGGATATACAGAGTATGTGAGGCAGAGGTGGGTCAGAGACAGCTCTGGGGATCACATCGGGAGGGACCCTAGGGATTATCTCCCCGTGTCACACAAAAGGGAAAGTCAGGTTTCCAGGCTTGACAAGACTTAACTCCCACTCGGCCACCTGATTTCTACTCTACCATGCACTCTGTGTGTGTAAGGGGGTGCGGAAGGGAAGGAAAAGGGGAAGTCATAAGCATTTATCTACACCTAGTGTGTACCAAGCACTTTTTAAAAATAGCATGTCTAGTGGTAATAGTGGCTATTTTCTTTAAAAACAAAAAAGAAAGCTCACAGTTTAAGCTGTGAGCTTTCAAACAGTTACCACAGAGATGCCCTTCTGGGTTAATCTGATTTGTAATATTTGGGCAAACTCATTAGAAATTAGAGGCAAAGGCTGTTTTGTATTGGTCATTGTATTCATCATTTATGACCTGTATGACCCTGGGTCAACAACTTCCTTTCTCTGGGCCTCATTTTCCCCATCTATAAGAGTAGGGGGTTGAACTAGATGACCTCTGAGGTCACTTCTGGTTCTAAATTAAGATCCAAGGATCCATTTCTAAATGAATGTGTGCACAACTCCCTCTAGTGTTTCCAAATGTCAAGTGCAACTCCTGGCAGTTTTTTAAAGTTTAAAAAAAAGGAGGGGGTTGTTTTTTGTTTTTTTGGCGTGAACTACTTTGCAATTTTCAGTTCCCCATCACTCCTCAGTAAATGGGTCTTTGGTTTGTCATTTGGCTGCATTGACTTAGGGGGTCAGGGTCTATTGTTTGCTAGGCCAGGTTACTGTTACCCCCACATCTTGGACGCCGTGTCCTGGGCGGACACACATTTCCTTTTCACAGACACATTTACCTCTTGACATAGTATCTATGAGCAAGTCAGAAAAAAATTTGAATTAATCATTTTAATCCTGGCGCTCCTGGAGACATGTCCAGTTCCTCCTTTGACATCAGTAGTAAAAGGGGCCTGAAGTCATCCTAATGCGTAGGTATCTGTGTTCTTAGATTATAGAGCAATTCTGGACAGCAGTTATGACCATCATAGGGGTCTCTGGTTCTAAAAGAGGAAGATATTGTTTTAAATAATAAAAAAATAATTTAGAGCAGTATTTTATATTTGTAAAGCACTTTAAGGTCTACAAAGCACTTTGTTCACAACAATCTTGTGAAATCCATAGTCTCAGTACCTCGGTTTGGAGATGTTAGAATTGACACTCAGGGAGGTGAAGGGCCTTGTCTGGGCTCACCCAGCTTGAGGTGTTAGGGCTGGACCTGAACCCTTGGCGTTCTGAGTTCAAGACCCACTTCATCTCTGCAAGAGTGAAATAGATTAAGGCTTTCAGAGTAAGAATTTCACAGCTCCTTTGATGCTCATGTAGACAATTTGGGCTTAGGATCTTTTAACACTCCTATCACCCATCAACCCAGAGTTTCTAGTTTCTGCTTTCATAATCTAACCCCTTTCTTCCCTCTGTAATCCTGGGAGCCTTCTCAATTTTATGTTAACATTCTTCGGTCAAGGTCTTTTTCAGTGTTTTTGTTTCCCATGAGCACCGTATCCTTCTAGGTTCATTCCTAGTGAATCAGAAGCAACCAGGAGTGCAGCTGCACAGCCCAAGCTGCTCTTTCTTGGGGACCCAGGATTTTTGCCTTTCAGATGGGGCTGTAGGCTCTTATTTTGTGAAACAGAAAGAGATCGTCCCACCCAGCCTTTACCCATTCCACTTGTCCGGCTGTATCTAACTAACCTTGTCTTTTTCCATCCCAGAATCTGATAAATGCAATGTGCTTTTGAGAAATAATTTTGATAATTTTCCATTTTGTAAAAAAAAAAAAAAAAAAAAAAAAGGCCTGATTTTAATAGCATTTTGGACCTCTTTAGCTTAGTGCCAAAGGTTAAGCTCTTATACCTCTGAAGGGCTCTCTTAGAGTAGGTCTTTCACTAAGGTACAGCACTCAGCAGGATATTGTTTTGGAAGCTCCTAGAATGTAGGGATTGTTTCCTTTTTTTGCATGGGCATTTCCAGTGTCCAGCTTGGTAGCTGGCACATAAGAAATACTTCATTGGGTTGGGCATTTCTTCCAGCCTCCTGCTGTACAGGAGGTAATGGGTGGGGGTCCTGAATCTAAACCTGGGTTTTTGTTTTAAGTTTTCTGGTCTCTCCCTCTGCTCCCCACCCCCCACTCCACCTTGCAAAGGTTTGCCAGACACTTTTGGATACAGCCAACATGGCGATTTATTTTGTTGGACTATGCATATTTCTTACAAGGGCTTTGTTTTTCTTTTTCTGTTTTTTTTCTTTCAAGTGGAAAGGGCAAGGAAGGATAAGGCAGCAGAAAAAAGATAGACTAATGGGTCATTGAGTCATCTTCTAAAAAAATGCAAAAAGCATAATACAAGGAAATAGAAACAAGCAAGAAAGCTTTGGAAGCTATAGGTTGAATTTATTATGCATTTAAAAAGAAAAGCAAGTGGTACATGTAAAGATTTACAGTTTTCATATACAATCCTTTTTTTTGTACTTTGTATATAGAAATCCTCATTTTGTTTGGTGTTTGTTAAATTCTGAATTTTCAGTAGCGATCTTCCTTTCCGTGTCTTAGTTCTTTTTTTTTTTTCAAGCAATTTGTTCTATTCTCCATCAACAATAATAGCTAGCATTCATAGAGCACTTTAAGGGTTAGAAAGCATTTTACAAATATTTCATTTTACCTCTGAGAGGTAGATGCTATTATTACCTCCATTTTCCAGATGAGGAAACCAAGGCAGAGGTTAGAGGATTTGTCCAGGTTAACACAGCTGGTAAGTGCCTAAGGAGGGATTTGAATTCCTGTCCTTCTGACTCAAGGTCCAACAATCTATCCACTAAATCACTTAGCTACCTACCCACAACCAAAGAGTAACTTTTTCTAGTGGCTTCTGACCCAAAATCTCCCAATTTTTAAAGCTGTTTCTTTAATTAAAAAAAAAAAACCTAAGAGTTTTCTTATTTTAGACAATTCTCTCCCCTCCCCTCCAACTTAAATGATTTTTATAAATATATAAATTAGATCTGACGGCTAGATTAGCGGGGGAAAAACTTAGCCAGAAGGGATCATTACTGTTTACTTTTCTAGTTCAGTCCCTGTTCTTTTTTCCTTTCTCCTCCCCCATCAAAAAACGAACCAAGAAAAAAAAACCATTTTTGTTCAGAGTCCTTGGAAGCATCTTGATAATAGTGGAAAGCGCCCTGAAACCAAGGGGTCTCTGTTTTTGAGTCCCACCTCTGACTCCTAAAGCTACATGATTGTGGCTAAATTACTTCACTTCAAAGAAGCTGCCTCCTCATCTTTAGACTGAGGAGTAACAATACTTGAAACTCTGAACTTCCAGGCATGTTGTGGGTTCCAATGCTATAATGTCTATAAGACACTTTTCAAAAAAAAATGCTATATAAAAATGAACTATTTTTATTATGGAATATTTGATGCCTTCCTTAGATATTTCTTTCACTCTTACTAGGGAAGAGTTAAGTTGAGGGCAACTAGGTAAATACTCTATACACATGGGGGAAAAGTTGTGCATTTGAAGGAAACTCTTGAAAAAGGGAAGGCATTGAACAGTTATTAAGCCTTTACTATGTACCAGGATACAAATACAAGCGAAAAGACAGTCCCTGTCCTCAAGGGGCTTACATTTTAATGAGAGAATACAGCACACAAATGGGAGCTGAAGGGAGGGGCAAAGAAAGAAGGCACCTGAGTGCAGAAACATAATAGAGAAGGGAATGAAAGTTGGCTGACTTGCATCCTTCCCCAAAATGGAAGGAGAAGGAGGAACTTGGCAGTGGCAGAATGGGGCTGGTGTGGTATAGGCTGTGAGAAGGCCACTGGCCAGTTTTTAAATTCCAGGGAGCTGAGGGAGGTTCCAGGGTGAGACTGCAGCTGAGGCGTAGGCTGAAATCTGCAAAGTCAGATGCACAGCAAACCTAAGGAACTTTCTTGTCTTGTTTGGTTATTTTTGGCTCCCAAGTTCTTTTTGAATTTTATATTCTGCTATCAAATGACCGTCACTGTGTTGTACAGGACTACGAAAACCTGGGTTGCTATTTGCTACCCATGTGACCTTGGGAATGTCATTTTATTTTGCCGAGTCTCCGTTTTCTCATCTCTACATTAAGGGACTAAAGAACTTTTAAGATCCCTTCCAGCTTTGGATCTTATGTAATTACAGCTGAATTTAATGACAAATGATCCACCATCTTATATAACCAATGGTAGAGAGGTTACCCTATCCCCACAGAGCTCCGGTCTTTGGCTTTCAGATGCTAACTTATCTCTACCCTGACCAAACAGAGACTTGCTGTTAGTGTCTGCTTGGTTGAAGGAGAGGTGGTATGACCACCTCTTATAGGAATTTTGGCCTGCTTTGAGCAATTGAGTGGGTTTTTGAGAAAATCTTAAGAGGAACAGCTAAATAGCTCCAATGTCTTTCCATTCCTACAGTTGGATCTTGGTGTGAAACAGTGCCCCCACCCCTTTCAGTAGGGGCATTGCCTTAGAGATAAAATACCGTACAATAGAGGTATTGATAAAGTAGCCATTGACAGTAGATTGCCAAAGGGCACGTGTGTGAGGTTAGGAGTGCCCTGTCTTTGCATTTTTCCTGCAATATTTTAGAAATTTTCCCTTAAATGGAATCAAATTGACAAATGCTTGTGAAACATGTTGCACCAATAATATTTGAGCCCACTGTAGTCAAGGATTGAAGGGTAAGAGGGAGAGGACTCTTAGGTACAACTGGATGAAGGGAAAAATGCCCAAGTCTTTAAGAATGATGAGTTTGTATTCTGACCTTCGAAATAAGTGACCACTGTGGCTGGGTGTGCCTGGTTTACTCTTCCCCACGTGGCTTGGTTTGTACTAAGGATTATTTAGACCCCTTAGGTTTTTCTTCTTCTAGTTTAGTTGATCGGGGCATCCTTCTTAAAAATATGGACAAAGGAAGGCTTAGCAACTTGCCTCACATTCACCATTCGGACAAGTCACTTTCACCTCCCTATGCCTCAGTTTCCTCATCTGTAAAATGAGGATAATCCTAGCACCTACCTCCTTCAGGTTGTTGTGAGGATAGGATGTAATAACATATGTAAAGCATTTTGTCAGTTTTAAAGCTCTATATGAATGCTAGTGCTAACTACTACTGCTATCATTTTTTTCAGTCAAATGGTAGGTTTGAGTTAAGGGAGGTTGATATTCTTTGCTAAAATTGAGGTTTGGATTTATTCATGGATGTTATTTCTCTTTGTTGTCTCTGCTTCCTGGTACTATGGCATTGGAGGTCATTGGTTAATCCTATAAGGAAATGAGGGGCCATGTGGTGATGTGGGTAAAGTGCTGGGTGATGCTAGTCAGAAAAACCTAAGTTTAAAACCGGGCCTCCTCTGATCCTTAGTAGCTTGGGAATTTAAGAACAACTCTTTGAGATTTCTCTACTAAGTTAGAGACTCAGATAGAGCTTGTGAATGGAGCTATAAACACATACACATATATACACACATACAGACACATATGTATGTATACAAGCAAAACATACAGGTAAAACGTGTGTATGTATATTTATAATATATAAATGTATATACACATATATTTGTATACATTATATACATTTTTACCTATATGGTTGGTTACAGCCAGATGGTTATAACCTTTACTCAAGAAATAAATCTTCCTTTACTAAAAAAAAAAAAAAAAAAAAAGAAAGCACTAAATTATAGACACTTTAGTACTCTGTTTCAGCAGCAGGAATTCCTCTATCATGTGTCCTTGAGAACAAGTCTAGGCTGGAATACTTTTCAACATTTTCTTACTCTCCTTTGCCACCTGATCTTCTAACTGTTTGATTCTATTTTTTGGAAAACTGTCTTAGTGAGAATAACCTTCAGGAAGACCTCTTTGATCAGATCCTTGCTGGAAAGTTGGAGTTTCCTGCCCCCTACTGGGATAACATTACTGACTCAGCAAAGGTAAGCTTGTCTCCCAACACTTCTGGGAGGCTGGGAAAGGGGACTTTCGGCATCTAGCCATATAGCTGAGTGCTGTCTGTGGTGACCAACCACACCAACCTCAGCTTCTGAGTAGCCTACACAGAATGTACACCAGGCTTTGGAGTCATGTACTGGAAGGTAGACCTATGCAAAGGATGGATGAATGTACCTGCTTGTCTTCTCTTTGGGTTCGAAGGCATACATGGCATCAGATGGATTACACCTTAGATTCCTTTGGTCACAACATCCTTGTCTGAATCTTTAGACCCACTTCTGAAAACTGGCCTGACCATCTGAAAGACACCCCTCTCACATCACCATTTTCCCAGGGAAATATTAGGAAAGGGCCAGTGATAATGGCCTTTGGACAGGTGGAACACAGCAGCTCTACCTATCATCAGACCATCTTTCCTTGCCTCTCCTTCCCTTGCTCTTTGCTCTTCTTTATTTCTTCACAGGAATTAATCAGCCAAATGCTGCAAGTCAATGTGGAAGCTCGATGTACAGCAGGACAGATCCTAAGTCATCCCTGGGTGTCAGTAAGTACTTTCTTGTTTTTCTTCTCACAAATAGCTACCTACCTTCCTCACACCATGTTGCCTCTGTCCTTTCTGTAGTTCAAGGATGGGTAGAGTTCCACATTTAACTTTGACGGTCAAGGAGGCATCTGTATTTTCTCATATCCACACTTGGACCCTCTGTGTACCTCTGATATTCAGCTTGCCATCCCACGAGGTAAAGAGGTAGAAAATGATGCTCTATTAACCATGGTCACTGTAGGCAAAGTCATTTCATCTCCATAAGCGGCAGCTTCCTTTTCTATATAAAAAGAGATTCCTACTCTCCTGTATGTGTAGTTCCCTTAAAGTCGGCAATAGTAGATATTTACACTATCTACTTCAAATGGTTCAGCGGTTGTGAGGACCAGATAAGAGAATGTATGTAAAGCAATTTATAAACCTTAAAGCTTTTTAGAAAGGTGACCTATAGAGTGAGTAAAGAAAAGGATACCTCTGCTTAGGAGAGGCCTTAGATTAGGGGTTCTTAACCTTTTTGTGTGTTTCCTGTAAGAGAAAGCTTTGAACCTTTTGGGCAGTCTGGTGAGGCTCTGGTCCCCTTCTTTGAAGAATTTTTTAAATAATTAAAAGAAATGCTAAATTCCATTTAGAGGCGAGTGAAAATAAAGATTTTTTTTCCCCTCATCCAAATTCATAGACCCCCTGAAGCTCATCCATGGACTATGGATCTGCCATTAATAACCCTCACCCTTGTTAGAGGTTGAGAGGTTCTTTCTTCCCATGGATGACCTCATGGCCTGACCAAGGATGTTCTAAAATAAATTCAGTTGGTGCCTGGATGATGTGGATGATACTTCTTGAATATGGGAGGCTTTGCAGGAAATCTCAATCAACTAATGGGCCATATGATAATTGGCATTTCCCTCATGCCTGGAGTAGGGAGAACTGAAGCTGTCATGTTAGCCTTGGGTACTGCCCACCATGTTTGGATTCAGTACCTCTTGGCTTGGGTGTGGTGTTAAGTCATTGTGGGCACTTAGCAATTCTGAGGCTCCTCAACTGATTAGCAGTGGCAAATGAATAATTAAGTAAATTGTCAATTAAAATGATAAAACAGTTAATCAGTTTCACTATTGTGTGCTTGTAAGGGGGGTGGTGGAATATAATATATGTTTAGTAGGCTTATAAATATTGGGGGGTGGCAAGGGACCTTTCTTGTTCTTGGCACCTGTGTTCAGGATGGACAAGGAAGGTGTCTACAGGCTTCATACAATCAAAGACTCTCAGAGTTGGAAGGCATCTTAGGTGTCATCTAGTCTAGCCTTGTTCTCATTATAGTATTTGTGACTGTGGTTACCCTGTCTCTACTTAAATATTGTCCAGTGATAGGTAGAACTCACTGACTCTAGTTAGAAAAGTCACTGTATTTTTTTAACTGAAATCTGCTTCTCTGTAGTAGAAAGAATATTGGCTTGGAAGTCAGAGGAGCTGGCTTCAGAACTGTCTTACTATGGGCTGATCACTTCCCATTTCTGGACCCCAGTTTCTTTCTTTGGAAAATGAGGGGGTTGGACCCATTGACCTTTGGCAGCCCCTTCCAGATGTAGAACCCAGGATGAACCTGTGGTTTTGACCAAAGGGGTGGAGTAGCAAAGGGTGCTTTCTGAATGAGAGCCGTGGTCTGGTAGAAGAGAAACAGGCAGAACTGCTTTCCCAGACTTAGATTTCCCTGTTAGGACAAAGACAAGTTTATCATCTTCCTTCCTGTTGGCCTTGGGAGCTGGAGAAGTCACATGTGCCTCTCTTTCCATAGGATGATGCTTCCCAGGAGAATAACATGCAAGCTGAGGTCACAGGTAAACTGAAACAGCATTTTAACAATGCCCTACCCAAACAGAACAGCACGAACACCGGAGTCTCCGTCATCATGGTGAGTGGGCCCAGCCACGACCATCTTCCACAGACACACCACAAGCTCATCTTTTGAAGTAAATAGGAAAGGGTCCCCCCATCTGGGTAACGAGGGCAGCATGTTCCCATGCCTCCCCCACCCCAGCTAAGGCTAGCTAGGACATCACTTGTCTTTGTTGTTTTACATCATGAAGTTTGCATGTTGTGTTATTGGTCCCAATACCTCAGATCTGGAGAGCAGTACACGTGAACTATGTGAGTCCTGGGGAAAACCCACCTACCTTGGCATACGCTGACAAATGGTATCCAATGACTCTTCCCTTCTAATAACAACTACCATCCTAGCCTTACATAAAGCTCTCTGGTATCCCTGGGTCTGCTCTCTTTTTCTGAGATGCTTAAACTCTAAGAAAAGCTTCTCTACCAGAGATTCTAAGCCTCATCGATCCAGAAGATAACATACATCCATAATGATTCGGAGCTTGGAATGAAGAGCAGTTTAAGTGATTTCTTGGCTCATGAAGATAGAAAGTGGTACCAAAATAATGAAGTCAGAGAGAAAAGTTGCCTGAAGGTGATGCCCATCAGGGAGAATGTTCAGTGTTTTGTGTTTTTTTCCCATGACAACCAAGAGTCCAGTTACAGTGATACCAGTCTTATTGGCACTGAGTGTCCAGAAACTGGGATTCTAGAATTGAGGTGATTTTAGGCCCAGAATCAATCATGACTGCCTGTTTGTAGCACCCAAGCATCCTCCTAGCTGGGGTATTCTCCAGTAGCCCTGTTCATCTGCTCCTTTCCTTTCTGTGCCCCTCCCCTGAAGGGTAGTTTCCAGGCAGTTTCCCTGGCCTCTACAGCCTTCTCCAACTGTTTTATCCTTCCCTCTCAAAGCTCTCACACTCTTAGAAAAGTCCCTGACCACTCATCCTCCCCTCCCCCTCCTTCTTGGAGGGAAGATAGTCAGGATTGGTATTGACATCCTCATCACATTGAAAATGATTGGTTTAATAGCACATTGTCGACTACACGGGAAGTCCATGTGGAAGAGACTCTGGCTCGTTTGTCTGCCTGTCGAGAGGCCTCTCTGCCACCCCTCCCCCAGCCTTGGACCCTAAGGGCCACAGAGCTGTTTATCTGAGCCCCAGCAGCATTCTTGCTTGACTCTGTCTGGTCTCATGCCACATGCAGGTTTGTAGAAAGGTTACTTCTTCCCCTTCTCCCCCTCAGCCTCATCAGTCCTTTGAAGCTGGCCCCTTGGGTTACTTTGTTTGCTTGGCAGCCCTCCGAAGGCTCTCCCAGCTCGGAGCTAAATCACAGCAGTAGAAGCTGGAGGCTGTTTTCCTTCTAGAAAGTGACGGAGCCCTCTGACATGCCCCAGGTCTATTTGGGTATGCTGGGCCAAAGTGAAGGGAGGGTTTATCCAATCTTGGCTTTTGTGATCCTTTAGCTGCCTTCAGCGAAAAAGCTTGAGAAAGTAAGTGACTAGAAGGCTGTCCCAACTGCGGTTTGACAGCTTTGAAGAGAACCATCTTGACTTAGCCAACAGCAGGAGCCCATTAGCCAGTGATTCTGTTGCATTCCACTTAGAGCGTCAAGCCTTGTTGTATAATGTCAGGAGAAGGCAAAGCACTTCCGTGTTTGCTCAAGCCAGGCAGATGGGGGAGGAACTTGGAGAAAATGGCTTTGAAGACAGTAATGGTGAGCCAGCATTCTAGAAACTGGATGCAGAGCCCCAAGGTAGGAGACAGTGTGTATGGGCAGAACCTTTAATCAGTGCTTTTGCTAATTGAACTAGAGACTCAGAGCATTCCTAAGAGGCAGGCCCTTTATCAAGCTGAGGTTTACACCCTGGAAAATCCAGGGCCATTGCGTAAGTCACTCCATCTCAGCGGCAAACATAGGCAGAGATTCTGGAGGCCTGATTGCTGGTTCCTTTACAGAAAACAGGGTTTCTTGACCTTCTTTCTGAATCAGTCTGTCTGGACCCTTTCAGATTACACTATTCTGATCTCACGTTGATTGGAAACAGTGCTCCTCCTCTCACCAACCAGCACAGTGCTTCATGGCTAACTTTCAAACCGGGGATTACACACACACACATGAAATGTACAGTCATTTAGGAGTGCTTGGGAACTCCCAGGTGTTCTGGAAAAAGCTCTGTGTATCCATGTGACTTGTGAGTCCTCATTTCCAGCTCATTGGCAGAAACCTGTCTTTGTGTTCCCTACACAACTCTGCACGTTATTGGCATTATTAAGTCAATGCCAAATGTCACCACTCCTGTTGAGACTAGCGGGAGGAGGGCAGAATGGTTTAGACCCTAACAAGAGCATGACTAAATCAATGCTGAATGACGATGGTCCCATTCAGACTGGCAAGGGGAAGGCAGAGGAATTTGGACCCTGATGATTCTCATTCGTCCTTGAAAGCTCAGTAATGGAGTTTGGCTTATCTTTCTTCCTCTCCACCTAAACCTCCCCCCCCCCCAAAAAAACCAATTTAGAGGAGTAATCCATGGGTGGGTGGGGGGTGATTACTTTCCTCTGGCACAGCACAGGGGCTGGGGCACAGTTGTGTGGTGGAAATATATACTGCTTCTATGTCCTTCCTGCCATTCTCATCACCAATTAATAGAGACTGTATTATTCTTTTCTTGAGATAAATTTAAAAATTTCGGTGCTTGAGAGTTTACAAAACTCTTTCCCCATAATGACCCTGTGGGAGACCTTCTGTTTAGTTCTAAATTAGAAGACTCTCTGAAGCAGGGACATAACCAGGGTTTCCTTCCAGCAGTAAGTCTCCCAATAGTGAACGAGGCTGACGCCTGCCCACTGGGGGCACACAGGAATAGTTCCTAAACATATCAGGGAGACAGGTGGAAGCACCATCTTACTGGTCTTACAGAAATGTCCCCCCTCCCTCTCATAGAATCTGGTCCACACTCATGCCAAGAAACTCTATCAGAAGGACTGAGGAATGTTGCATTTGCTAACAGAGCTAACGAAGGGGAGGTTGATGATTTTATCTACCTTTTATTTGACAGTTTGATTTGACAGTTTGAGGGGGACTTCAGAGTTCCATTCTTTATCCTGCTGAGACTGTGGAGAAACGTGAAGCAGAATCCTGGTATTACAAATGCTACGCTTAATAAGAGCAGTTTCTAATTCGCAGCCTTTCTTCAATCTGCATGCTTGTCTCAGATTTCTGCCACAGTCCAGCGCTTAGCTTCTTATTGGTGTGGGGTTTTCTGGTTCCTTCATGTCCTGACATCCTTCTCAGCCAATGAAGCATAGTCAGAGAAAATGTAATTCATGTGATTGCGTTCCTCTGGCCATGCTGTCTTCCACCAACTGAAAAAACAGATGGTGCAGGGGAGGCATTAAAATGGCTCCCACCCTAAACTGCCCCTCCATTTTTTGGTAGGAAACTCGTGAGTTATGACCCACAGCATCAGAAAGAGCAACATCCCAGTGGCAGTTTGGGGTTTTCTGTTTTCAAATGCATTTCTTTTATTTAAAAAAAAAAACATTTCTTTAAGGCAGGTATTTGCAACCATGGCACAGGGCAAAGAAAGTTAATTTCTGAAAACAGGATTTTGAGGGCAAGAGAGGGGCCTTGAATTCCATAAGCAGTTTGGCCTAGTGGGAGCTCCCTGTTACCCATTGGACAGCCTTTTTCTGGGTGACAGACAGTTCCTGAAGGACATCCCTTTCAGATGGAAGTCCCAGGGGGCTTGAAATTGGGATGGGCCAAGTTTGCATCAGGAGGCTGAGTCCTAGTCTTAGTTAAATGGAGGTGAGGCCATCCTGTGGTAGAGATGGGTCAATGCAATGAGAAGCCTAGCTCACTGCTGTCATATTAACAAGAGTGGTATTTTGGGTACAGCTCAGGAGAAAGGGCTTTCCTCTGCCCAGAATTGTGTTTCTATTTAAGGGAAGGTTTGGGGTGGGGGAGGGGGAGTGATGGTAGAGGTATTTTAATTAAAAAAAAAAATGTTTAATTGGTGTTGGTTCTGTTTAAAGTAAGTCTAGTTTCTGTCCCTTGCTTCCTTCCTTCTTCCTCCTCTTCCACTGCCTGCATTGCTTTCCTCTGACTAGGTCCAAGGCAACGGTACGTACTAACTGCAACGCTTTGTTCTGCTGCGCACATATGTGTTGGTCTAATTTACAGGAGGAGAACAGGAGAAATGACTCAGGGCTTGCTTGGTTTCCTTCTGTTCCCTAGGATGGAGAGAATGGGAGCTTGGGAGAGGGGTTTTTCTTATCAGTTTGATTGCCCTACAGGTTCTTAGGACTGGGTTACAGGACCTCCATTAATGTGCACACTGCAATGGTAGCAGTATTAGACTATGGTCTGGAGACGCGGTTTTGAATCCCATCTCTTAACTCTTTTTAGATGTATGGCTTTGGGCAAAATATGTCACTTCTCTGGACCCTTAGCTTTCTCACCTCTTGCATTAAGGGGGTTAGACTAGCTGATGTCAGAGTTATCCTCTTCGTCTAATATTCTGTTATCTAGGATGCCAGGTGCTTGTCGAAGGAGATTAGCATTTCTGATCTCTGTTTTCTATCTTCTCTCAATCTTTTCTCCCATAGATTGTTCTCCCTAAAAAATAACAGCAGGTTGTTGCTGGAAAAGACCTTAGAGAAAAAGCCTCTAATCTGGATTCCTCATTTTGAAGAGGAATGAGGTACTCGAGCTCCAGAGAGATGAATTTAGCATTCCAGCCCTCTCAGAGCTTGTTTTATTTACTTGGGTTTTATCCCTAGGTTCTGATCTGTGGGAGCCTACACTCTCAGCAGGGCATTTGTTCTGAGCAGGTGAATCTTTTAAGTGCCACATTGCACGTGCTTGTATAGTAGGGAGAAATCTGAGGAGCAGTGGCTGCTAACAGCCTGTAGTGTGTCACTGGAGGACTGGCAAAAAACACACAGAAACAAGGGTATACGGGAAAAGGCAGCCTAGATCTGACAGATCCCTCCTCCAGAACCAACAAGAGTGACTTGAGCACTCTGCAGGTAGCCCTTCTTGGGGTCACTGAGGATTCCTCAAAGCCTCATTAGGGGAACAAAAGTCCCTGCCTGATTAGGAGGGCCAATAGCGATCTCGTGAAAGGTTTTGTTTATTTTTTTAAACAGGGACTAGGTTATTTTGCAGGGTGAGAACTAGAAAAGGCCCTGGAGATCACTGAGGCTGGCCCTCTTATTTTTCAGATGACAAGCCTCAAAGAAGAGCAATGGGGCCCAAAGTCTCCCCGTTTCTTTGCCTCTCAGTCCGGCTCTTCGCTGCCAGTCTATGGGATGGTCCTTGGTGGCAATCTGTCTCATTGAGGGGAATGCTTCCTTATTTGGTCAGTTGGCCCCAAATCAGCCCATCACAACGCCGGCGGCACTATCTTCCTTTCTATGATCAAGAAATCCCTTTCCTTAACTTGGGGAAGAATGAGCATTGCAAGGTTCTGGAGAGTCTGTGCATCTGCTAGAACACTTGAAAGCAAAACAGTTCTGCTTATTACTGAGGGTGCTTTCAGGGGAACAGGGCAGCGGGTGGGAAGTGCAGTTGAAAATCTTAGCCAGAGATGGAGTAAAAGGTATCTCCAAGTAGTCATGAGTTAAATGGTAAGCTTGCACTGGGCATGTTGGGATCCCAGTTCCCCTTACTGCCCTGGCCCAAAAAGAAGGCAGGTCCTCTCTGCTGGCATGCTGGGTGCACTGCACAGGCCAAGTGCATTAGAGCAGAATTCTATTGGCATGACCTGGTTCTTGAGGTAGTTTCCCTTGAGTTTCTGTTGGGAAAAAAGCCCGGTGTCATTTCTCCTGGTCTGTTCTTGAGTCCGGTGCATGCTCCTTGTGTGGTGTTTGGTATTTTAAACAGTGATACTCATTAATGTGGGTGGTGGATTTAACCTTATTGTTCCCATGCTGTTTCCCCCTGCAGAACACAGCTCTAGATAAAGAGGGTCAGATTTTCAGCAGCAAGCACTGTCAAGATGCCAGCAGAGCTGGGATGGAACAAACCTCTCCCATTCCTTCTCCTGCCAAGGAGTGTCCCATGCCCGAGTCTGCAGACCTCCATCCCTTTGCTTCTCTGGAGACACCTACTTCCCCGAGCCCTCCTGCTGCAGCCAGCTGTGAACGTGCTGGGTCCTGGCGGCGCCTTCGTGACTGACACTCGGCCAGACCAGCTGCAGCACACAGGGATGTCAGGAAGCCCAATCTCACCCCTACAGCTTCCCTCTCCCTGTTGTGGCCTGTTTTTAAGTTTGTCACCCTGGGGAATCAGGGGCCTGTTATTGGGGAGTGCTATGGCTTGTGAGAAACTTTGGCGCTCTGGCATCTGCTTTGAGCATGCTGTGGGATGGACTTTGGACAAACGCATTTAGGGCTCTTTTTTTCAACATCAAATTTTCTGTTGAATGGGCACTTCAATCCTCTCCCTTTATCCCTTACCATCAGCAGAACTTGGAACTTTTTCAAGCACTAACTAACTGCATTTTTAAAATAGAAACCCTTTGGATGGACTAGGATACCTTCCTTTCTTTGAACATAGAGAACTCTGCCAGGCAGAAGAATTTTTCTCTCAGAGAGGCAAAATCTTTTCATTTGCCCCTTAGTTCATTGGCATAGGCCAGTGTCCTGTGTAGAGAGACTCATTGTACAGGGCAGAAAAGGTAAGCACCCAAGAGAAGGAGGAGAAATTCGGTCTTTGGACCCAGCCCTCCAAAAACTGGACTTGCAGAAGAGGTGGCAATGACAAAGAACACCGATTCATTTCATTGCTCATGGAAACACTGGGTATTTATTTGTTCAAAGATTGGGGGAAATGGTGTTTCTTTCCTGTATGTTCTAAGCTTTCCTTTTGTTGTCTTCAAAAGTCCTATCTCCCAGGCACTATTAGGAAATGACAATTTAATATTACTTTGGTCTTCTGAATGGTAGGCATGCCTGCCTCATGCCAGATGAGCTGGATTTTGGGTTGTTTGCCCTTCTACAAGAGAAGATGGAGTTCAGTTGCTTGAAGTGGTGACAGATGTTTTCTTCCATCATCCTGCTTATTGCACCCAGCAGGTGCTGGCGAAAGGACCACTGAGATGAGGAGCCTTGAACATCCCATGGAGGAAGGTGTTCTGAAGGCTTCACACCCTGGGTAGTGTGGATGAGGAGGCGTTTCCTTCCTTTCTCCTATTTTGCTCATCTCAGTAATGTAGCTCATCCACTGATTGGTCTACATGCTCATCTTTTTACAAGCGAGGCCTGTCTGATTCATTCTGGCGTGATGTTGAGAGTTTGCAGTGTTAACAGGCCTACAATAAACTTTTTCTTGATGATAAAACAATCATTGGTTGGAGGGAGGGGAAGAGCCAAAGTAACTTCATTATTCTGAGGACTCTTGGACCCATTACTTTGTTTCTATCAAGGTCTGCTTTGAGCCAGTTTTAGCAGAAGCCAGCATCCTTTTGGGCTAGGTCAGGGTTTGCAGCTTGAGAAGTCATGTGGGGATGTCTCCACGTCTTAGGGACAGCTAATGAAAAGAAAGGAGAAGGCATTTGTCGAACTTTATCCATGGGCCTTTCAAAGAAATCACAGACAGAAAAAAAGTAGAACATAAATAGTAACGGAGTAAGGACCACTCATCAAAGCCTATGACCCAGATAGATTTAGAGGAGATGGTATGTGTGGTTGAAAGATTACAAAGTTTCATTTAGAAGTGACTGAGTTTAGAGAGGGATGTGCTATATATATTGAAAACCCAAATATGAGCCTAACATGTTATGTTATCCACACTGTTCTTGGCTGGATGCAAACAAAGATAGGTTGTCTTACCTAGTAACAGGTAGCCTCAGCTAATCTGGTACCTTGGGGCACAAGTTCTGATACTGATTTTCTTTAGGTCATTTGCACCATTCCTTTTTTTCCATTTCTCTAAAAGGAAGATAAAACGTATTTGCTTTGTGCTAAAGGCTAGTTAGTGATCCAGATAGAAAGAGAGGTGCTTTGTAGGGAAAGGTGAGAAACAATGACCCAAAACAAGCTTCAGGTTTGACATGTTTGCAAAACTGACCTTTCTTCTTGGAAATGGAATGGGGGATGCCATAGGCATTCTGATTTGCGCATGGCATTTGACCAAATTTTTCATGACAGCCTTTTGATTGTTGGGACAAAGTATGGCTTGGATCATAGCACTGATAAGCAGATCCCCATGAATGATTTGGTGCCACCCTGCCAAAGCCCATGGGACTCTGTCCTTGTATCTGACGTCCTTGTTCCCAGTGATTTATATGAAGATATGCAAAGCCTGATGATTACATCTGTGGGTAATAGGAAGCTGGGTTGGATAGCAAATGAGTGGTTTATGTAGACAGCTGGAAGGGACTTCACAGGCCTTCTAGTTCAGCCCCTTCATTTTACAGATGAGGAAACCAAGGCCCATGGAAATTAAGTGATTTATGAAAGGTCACATGGATAGGAAGTATCAGAGACTGGATTTTGAAGATGACAATCAAGCTCCAAAATAATCTTGATAGACTGGAATGATGGGCCAGATGAACAAGGTAAAATATAATGGGGGTGGGAGGTTAGTATATCTTACACTTAGTTTTTTGAAAATCAAATGTACAAATACAGAATGAGAAGGATCTAGATTGGGTAATGGTTTGTGTCAAAAAATCAAGCAGTTGTAACATGTAATTTAAAAAAATCCAGCAGTTTAATCTTTGGTTCTATTAACAGGAGTATAGTCGTATACCATTCTATTGTCCTCCATGCCTGGAGTGCCTGGGCTTTGTTCTGGGCACCACATTTTAATAGGGAATGTGTATGAGCCCTAGGAGGACAACTAGGGTGGTTGGCTCTTTTAAAGCAAGCCACTCAAACACTAGTTGGGGGACCTGGGGATCAAAGACAATCAAAGAGAAGTGATGTTAAGGGGACGATGTGGTATATTCAGCTTTTTGAAGTAATGTCATATTGAAAAATATTGAAAAAATTGAATTGAAAAATTGAAAAAAAATATTGAAAAATATTAACTTGTTGGATGTGGTTCCAGAGGGTAGAGGCAGATAAGCACATAGTGTCAAGGGGGCAGATCTTGGTCCAGTACAAGGAAGAACTCTTACCCCTGCTCATTAGAATTGTACAGAAATAGAACAGTCCTTGGGATGTAGTGAGCTTCCTACCAGTGGAGGTCCTAAAGAAGAGGCTGGTTGGTTGACCATTTGTCAGAGCTGTTCCAGAGGGATTATTGGAAGGGTGAGAGGTTGGACTAAATGACCTTTCAAGTCCCTTCCAGCTCTTGAGATTCCAGCACATTCAGATCATTGAACAAGCATCTATTAAACACCCTCCGGTTTGTAATCTTGCAGGTGCCAAAGACGTGGCCTTTTTATTCTGTGCTTATTCTAACACATCCTGGTATGATTCACATGAGTTACTGTTTCATTAGTGAGTTAGAAGGGTCTGCCATGGCAAAAAGCTCTTTGGTGAGTAAGCCTTCATGGCTCATACCCTTGTGGTATCTTGTGGCTAAAAGGAAAGGAAAACTTAAGGGTGCTAACTGGCTAATGAAGGGCTTTAATTGCTGGTGAATTTCCCCTTGGACGAAAAGCGAACTTAGGATAAACAGTAGGGCCAAAGTAGTTTTCCCATAATGGGTCTGGTTTGTCTGTTTTAAGTTTAAGGACTGAACAGCTGTTAATGGAGAAGGAAATGAAACGGAATCAGAAGCCACAAGGCAGCCATTTTTTCCTGATCTGCATCTGAGGGATGACTGACTATTATGACAATTTGTTTTCTTTAAAGGAATAAATACGCCATTGCAAATCTGATTTCTTATTTCACAGTCCCAGGTCCCAGTGACTTGACAACATTTGCAAGTGTTGTCCTCCCCTAATTATGGGGGTAATCTGTTCCCTCCTAGTGCAAACACACCCTTTTTTCTCCTGTGTAGGAGAGAAGAAACAAACACAATCTTTGTTCTTCCAGACTTGGGCCTGAGGGCTCTTTGTGCCCTTCCCTTGAATTTCAGTGAGGCTGGGAGCTGACCCAAGGTGTCACTAATAGTCCTGACTGTGATATCAGACACTTAGGAAATCGGTCATATATATTGAAACTGATAGTTTCAATCTTGCTACAAGAAAAATTCAAATGCTGTTTTTTTTTTTTTTTCTAGTGAACCAAGTAGAAATAGGAAAACAGGAATGTTTTTCTCCTGTTCACAGTACATTTTCCCTTCTGGGGTATTTACATTTGGTATTTCCCAAACTAATTTCTTCCCATGCACCTATCACCCATGAAGTACATACAACATGAAGTGGAATAAATGCTATAAAATGAGGATCTTTGTAATCAAGTGATAAACATGAGGATGCTAAGGCCATTATTTGAAGGAGAGGAAGTGTTGTATAGACATGGTGTGTGGTTTTTAATGTGTTTAAATAGGGTTACTATAAGGATATGCACATATCCATCTGTTGGTGTGTTTGATGTCTGTAAGTATAGGTGGGTCAGTTTTTTGGTAAACTGCACATAGAATGGGGGTTCTTCATCTTTTTGTGGGGATCATGGACTCCTTTGGCAGTGTGGTGACACCTGTGTGTCCTTTTTTAGAATAATGTTTCTAAGTGCATAAAATAAAACATGTAGGATTACAAAGGAAATGAATTATATTGAAATATAATTTTTTTTCTCATCGATGTTCATGGACCATTCCTGAAATCAATCCATGGTGCCCAGGTTAAGAACTCCTAACAGAGGCTATCCACTGATGTTGCTACTACCCCACTCCACTGGGAAATCATTAAATTAATACATCTACTATGTGCACATAAATACACATCTACCATATGCATATAAATATGTACGTACACCTCTCTGTGAAGTAAGGAGGAGTGTCCTGGGTATATACTGGAAGAATTATAGTTTCTGAATTTGTAAAGAGTCTGGACTAATCCTGAAGGACTGACTACGTGATTAAAATGCAGCAGATTATACAGAGTACTTTAGACAAGACAGCAAGAAATCTTTGACTGAATCAAAAATTACGTTCGAAGAATCTATGCCAAAGATAAAGCACAGTGGCAAAAATGCTGGGGAAACCATGCAGCTTGGTAAAAAGATGGTTGCTAAGGAAAAGGAGCAGCATGGCCCAAACAGTCCACTTTACTAGGGGAAGTATAGCATTGAGAAGAAATGCAGCTGGGCTGAATGGTTCATCAGTGCAAATTCCAAAACCACAGACTGATAAATCAGTTTTTAAAATCTTGCTTGTGATACTTGTGCTGCACAATTCCTATGCTTTCTGGAAATGATAACAAAAAAGGATTGTGGAAAGTGTCAACCAAAATCAAAAGAAATCAAAGAGATAACTCCTGCCTAGCAAGAGAATTAGTGGATGTACTTCTGGAACAGCTTTAATGGACTTATAAATGGGGTTGAGGGCAGTGCTAATTATTAATGGGAACAAAAGAGAATGGGGATTTAAAAGGATAAAGGGCCATTCAACAAAGTTTATCTCTGCTAAACATAGCAAAAGTATCCAGTGAAAAACCTCTACTCTGATTTCATACCTCTCTGGATAGGAACTACTTTGATTTCATAATTAAATGCAGGTTAATGAAGTAGATGGTGATTCATCCCACCTTCTATCTGTATTCACTAGCATTCTATTTTATTAGAAAATCTAAAGTTGAATTGTTTGCTGGGAAGGGCAAGGAGTGGAAGAGAGTTCAAATTCAGCCTATTATTCCATGTAGGCTTATTATAAACATTACTTATGTGAATGAGTATCATTTGGGGTCATAATACACACGGTATGTGATTACATGGGCCCTGAGCTTACAAGACAAGCTTACAAGATGGAAATATCATCCCTTGCTTGCTTATTGTGCCCTGGAGTTGAGTTGCATTCTACATAGGAGCTGGCCTGGGTGAAAGCTACTGACTGTCCTATGGACATGTCTGGCATTTTTAATAAATAGGTTAATCCTTAGCATTCTCACACACTCTGATTTCTTTTGTATAGAGTTGGCTTGTGGAATTCATTCTTCCTGTTGTCCTCAATGGAAAACAAAATCTCATTTTCCTACATGGGCCATCATGGAATTTTATTCATTAGCCCTCATGTAAGTGTCTGTTTGTCAGACTTTGTCTTGATAACCTATTCTCTAAAACCGAATACTTTCTCCCTGGCTGTACTTCTTAAAACAGCAGAACTTCAGGCCTGATGTAGTTACATTTAAATGAAGATAAACATGACTGAAAAGAAAATCTTATATTTCTTGATGCCATCCATGCCTTACCAACCAGCCCTAGGTACTGCCCCTGCTGATTCATTAATTTAGGCAACAGCCTCTTTCATATTTCATCACAGTAGCACCTCTATCTAGTTTTAAAAAAATGTTTAAATTCTTGCTTGCATTTGTTGGGTTCAAAATGAATTTTTTGACATAAAGAATGGGCTAAAGTTTGAAGAAATAAGCAAATGGCAAATTCTTCTAAAATATGGTTCTAAGCAGAAGTCAGTTTGCAGTGATACCAGTCATGTTATTTCTTTGAAGTGCTATTTTACTTGTGTATTAACTTTTATAACTGTGGGATGCAGATTTGAAAAAAGAATAAAGAAACCAAGATGGCCCTCATTATTAAGGCTAATCTGTTTTACCAGCTATGCCTTAAGGTACTTTATATGTGCATTAAAAAAAGTTATCTGGCATGTCTTTAGCATATAAGTTAGCTCTTTTGCTTCTGCTGTTTTTCTTTTTCTTTCTTTTTTTGCAAGGCAATTGGGGTTAAGTGCCTTGCCCAAGGTCAGCTAGTAAGTGCCAAGTGTCTGAGGCTGGATTTGAACTCAGGTCCTCCTGACTCCAGGGCCGGTGCTCTATCCACTGTGCCACCTAGCTGCCCCTGCTGTTTTTCTAAGTATCATAACCATGATATGCTGAGCTGAAATAATTTTCTAGTTAGTGGCAATTAGGTTGTTTGAGTTTATGATATCTTTATAAACTTCCTTACTGATATTGTTTTGGAAAACAAGGATGCAAATGTACCATTTGGGAAAGCCTCTCAAGATAAGGCATTCACAAACAAGATCAGTCATTACAGGACTCATTTAGGGAAATCTGTGTCCTATAGGTTTTGTTCACACTTGAGAAAATGTCAAGGTTTAGCTAGAGTTCTTTAGTTCAATTGAAAAAATATTTATTAAGTGCTTACTATGTGCAAAGCCCTTTTAAAAGGTAATTATGTAATGGTATTTAAAAGCAGTTGCAAAGGCGGTGGAGTAGTAAAGACATCCTTTCCAATATTTCGATTACAAATTCTATTTTATTCAATTCTTCACTCAAATTGTTTTCTCATTCCAAATCTTTGCTTTAGAGAATAATTGAATATTTAGAAAAATGAGACCTACTTCAGTAGGCAAGCAAGAGAAATAGATATGGAATGTCAGTTTCCACTCAAAGATCACCACATACAAAGAAGTTGTTTATGCAATACAGACTTACAAAACGATACAGTCCTTTTCACAAATATGTTCACAGAATTCTGCACAGCAATCTGGTAGAAAAGTAGAATCAATTATGCAACACCAAAATAACTTATTATTCCTCAGTATAAATCACGGTTCATTTCCTAAGGGGATGTAGAGAAAATTTAATGACGTAGTTGAACTGGATGCAAATAGGAAGTAAAAAGTGTGTTGCCAAGTGCAGCACATGAGCAGATCACTCTGTGCTCTATAATTACAGAGAGATTTCTGTTCTAAAAGGTGGGGAGGAGGGGATAGAAAAGCAGCTTGCAAACCTGGAGCTTCTGCACAGGGAGGAGGAAGAGGCTTGGATCCCTGGTCAGCCTCAGTGCTTTCACAGTCAAAATAGCAGAAGTGTGCTTTGGTACCTGCATTTAATTCCAAAGTAGAAGAGATTGTGAGCCTGTGGACATTTCCATCTTCCCAGTTTGGTGTGCTCTAAAAGATTTCAGGTAAGAATTAGAAGTGTGCCACACCTGCTATATATCCAGCAATGACCTTAGAGCTAATTTCTTGCTCTCGACCACACGGCAAAACAAAAGCTTTCAAAAGACACCCCCCCAAAACCTAATTGCCTAGGCCTAGAAACATGCTTGAATATCAATGGAAATGATTCATCATCAAATTTTAAATTACAATTATCATAATTTAAACATTACAGAAACTTCAGTGCTCAAGAAATACAATCATTTGGAAAATAACAAGACACAAAGTCTAGTACAGGTAGCACAGATTAAAATCCCCATACCCCAGCATTATAACCCATTTCCCCACTTTAAAATCATATTTTTCAAGATTATAGATAAAGCTTTAAATGGGGAAATACATTTCTTCATAATATAGTCTATAATAGTGACTTAACTCACTTTATTGTAGTTTTCTTTCTATAATGGGTGAAAATAGACTTCTAATTATGACTAAAAATATAGATTTTGTAACTAGAGAACCCAGCAGCCAGTTTTCTGCTTCTCTGCCCTTCCCCCCAAAAAGTCAAGCAAAGTCTACAAAAATAGCAATTAACTTTAAAAAATATTTTGCTGTTTGAGCAAATTTAAGTTACATTCAGGCGGGATAGCTATTTAGAAAAGAACAATGCTATGGCAGGACATTGCTTTCTATGTCTGAAGTCTTGTCGCTAGTACTAGTTCGATTTGATTTTCATTTTCAGTATCGGGTTTGGTACTCATGATGCCATCGGTTAAAGTCATTGTAGAAAAGCACTATGCTCCCAGACGCCATGCCAGTCATGATGCACCTGGGAAAAGCACAAATGTGGAGTTAGGTTCTGAATCCTCCCATGTT